TAAAATGCAAAGGGTTAGGAATTGTAATGCAGTAATACTTATTTCAAATTTTACTACGCGACGTCATTTGAAGTCGAGGTGTTTCACCTCATCCCGCGACTATTTTTGTCTTGAGTAAAATATTACAAAATATGAGACAAGAGCGCTTTTGGCACTTTCCTGGTAGAACGTGCGGGAAGCAACGTTAGATTCATTGAGGGAGCAATAAAGGCCCGGTCACACAGCCTTTCGCGTCTGTATCGCGGGTAAAATTTCGCGATTTTTTTTTGCCCGCGGTTGCCCGTGGTGGAAAATGTGCAAAATTGGCTTACCCGCGGTTTACCCGTGGTATGCCCGCGGAACAGACGCCGGCGATTGTTCCGCGTCCTTATCGCGGGTGAAGCGCGGCGGTACCGCGGCCTACCACGGGTATAATAAAGCAGCCGAACCGGGCTGTAGAAATCATAACCGCTCAAGACACAGTCCCGTGAAGATCAAGCTATGGCACCGAAGAAGAAGCCCATGTTCACCCCTTGACGTCTGGAGCACAACTGACGAATGCTCGGCAAATCGCGCTTTTTATATACCTAAAATCAGACGTTGTACGGACGCGGTTAGGCCGTGGACAATCGTATTTGGGACGTGTACAAGACGCAATCGAACGTGATTAGGCCGGTATTGGGGCGCGCTGTTTACGCGGTACACACGCTAATGCACGTGATAACAACGCGGTACAGACGCGGAACAAACGTGCTATGACCGTGCTCCACCCGCGATTACCCGCTAAAATTTCGCGTCCTACCGCGTGTAACCACGTCTTAACCGCGGCCGTAGCACGTCCTAGCACGTTCGTTCCGCGTCTGTACCGCGTCTTTACCGCGTGTGTACCACGTGTACCGCCCGCGATTACCCGCGGTCTAAATTTTTGGGCAGCCCAAAACTTTTTCGCGCGGCCAACCGCGTGTGAATTTCTTACCGCGTGTAACGACGGGTAAAGTACGGCTGTATCGCGTCTTTATCGCGACCTCAAAGCGTCCAACAGCGTCTGCTTCACGGGCCGCGATACGCCCGTGGAGGGCTGTGTGACCGGGCCTTTAGGTGAACTTTGTTGTCTCGTGTGATTTGACCGCGTATACGACTGCAAGATAATTAGCCCTCATACTCATAGACAGTCTCCCGAATCATGGATTAAAAATATTTTTAGCGGTCTAATTTCCTCCCGCGTGCATCATCAACCTGTGTCTCAAAGAGGATTATTAGCTCTATGACCGAGGTCTTCATCTTCATGATCACGGTTTCCTTGATTACTACTGTAGGTCGAGGCGTTGACATTATTAAAATGTGAGGGGCGGGGGGGGGCACCTGCAATAGTACAGCCGTCAAGGTCAACATATAATTTGACACGATTGAGGGGGTGGGTGATTCCTTCAATACAAAATAACATAGAATGTTATCATGACGCCATTTGTATCTTTCCAGAAACACATTACAGTTTTCAAAAATGTGGTGGAGGGTGCCGGTCGTTTGAGCGCAAAATTGACATTTATTTTATTTGATAATATCTCACCCCATCTGCATAGATTAGTGTAGGATGGTAGGGAATCTATAATATATGCACTTGCCACGAAATTCGGCTCTCTCTCTCTCTCTTAGGTAAGTTGTAAATACAGACTTCCATGAAGGATTCTCGTCAGCAGGAACTTCACAAATTGCCCTTGCACGAGGAGCGGTTAAATCTACTTTTTGAAGGTATTCTGTTGAATTTTCTTTCGATGTCTCCGTGATAGCTCTTTTCACTACGTCTTATGATCTATTGTGAACGAAAACTGTTTGTTGTTGTTATTTACTCTATTAACATTTTGTTGGCACGCTCCAATAGACGACTGCTTTTTGCCCATTGTGACTCTCCATTAATAATGCAACCACGGTCCATGGTTTACTTGGGGGTCCCCGTTTGGTGTAAGGCACTTATCTTGCATTGCACGGTGCATAAGTTAATGTTTCATGAACTGGCACGTTTCACGTACTATCAGTCTTTGGTCAGAAACCATGGGTTCTCGTGCAGAAGTCCACTAAGAGCCCAACATGTTTTGCCGAATATAAACTGTCTATTTATAGAAAGAAAATTAATGGTTGTGATTAATGTGGAAGGGGGCAAATCAAACGAGAAAAGGTACATGACTTTTTCATAATGGCAACCAAAATGTGGTACATTGTGAACCCATGTTCTCATCATTTTTAATATAAGGGGAGAGGAAAGATCACAACGTTTATTTCTACAATAATATTGTCACTCCCCAAAAGTCCCCATCCAGGTGTGGTAAATGGGTAAATGGGCCCGTTGTATAAAACTTACCACTGATCGTAACTTCAATGGAAACCTTGATTTAATTGCCTAGTTAATTGGTAGGTAATACTGATGGCAAAGATATGCCACCGGGGTCCTGGTTAGTTATTCATTGAATGCTTTTATCGCCTCTGACATGTCCGAGTAGCCGGGCTGCAGCCAGGGTAATCCCCTTGTCGAAATGAGTGTTTTTGCCATATCATCATTCTGATACCACTTCGCTGCTGATTTGGAGGCTTTCCCGTTACTGTGTCATTGGATGTTTGAAATCGACAGGGGTGGGGAGGGGTGCAGCCCCTATCCCTACACTAAAGCATATGCAGCCGTGTTTGTTTATGCAGTAGAGAGTTACTAAAACGAATGTATGGGTGAGATGGCAACATCATTTATCCAAACATTCATCTATATGCTTGATCGAAGAATAATGCGATTTCCATGTGGTGAAAACTGGACAGCGTTTCATGAAACCGTCATAAGTACAAGTTTACCGACATCCCATCGAAATACGTGTATTAAGTTTAACACGCGTTTCAATGGGGTGTCGGTGAACTTGTATTTGTGACAGTTTTATGAAACGATGCCATGACGCCTGTCTTCTCCTGAATGATCTGAAATCAGTAAGCGAAAAAGAAACAAATGAAGAGTCACTTGGTTTGTGAAAGGTTCTCTCGAGTAGAAGAAAGCTCGCCTGACGAATTATAAGGTCATTGCAAACGGAATTATTTATGACTTTTTAAGTCTGTCTTTCTTATTCAATTTACAGGCTTTCAACTGGCTTCTCCCTGATTATGTTTTTTTAATATGTCCTATTGAATTTAATGTTATATAAAAACGATGACTTATCTCTAGGAAAACAACATGTGGTGTCAGATGACAAAATATAATAGATTACGTCCTCAATTACCCTTTGAGCTAACGTTTACGACCATTACCATGGCAACACGGTTATTAATCTTCTAAAGTGATCGGTTATGATTATTTCCACTCTGCTCTGTAGTGTTAAGTCCTCAAAACGAAAGGATATTCATCAAATATTTTTGCCAAAGGGTAGTTACATTTTTTAACCATGGACGTCAAATGCCTACCAATAATGCTTACTTAACAGTAATATTAATTATGGCCGTAAAAATAGCCGCCTCTTTGATGTGAGTTTACGATATAGGATCATTTGCTTTGAATGAGGAAGGCTTTCCTCATCCTGTGATTAATGGGTTCAGGGGGGAGTTAAGTGGCTTGTTTTCTCATCTTTGCGAGATTCGATATTGCTCTTCCTTAGCGATATAAAGGGTGACCGATATTTTATCCCAATATGCAGGCTGATCGCGATGGCATTTAATCATACTGTTAATTCTCAGTTATTGTTGTCATTAAAGGTACTTTGTCCCATTTGCAGGCCAAACAAATGAAAAGATTAAATTCCAGCGGCATTTGAAAAATAATACTAATTTAGAACTCCTCTCAAAAGAAAAGGGCTTGGCAGTGTTTATTTGTTAGAAAATGATGATGGTTTAATAGTTGTCGAATCGAATTTAGAGATCGCGGTTGTTTTATTAAATAGTCTGATTTTCAGACCGTTGTACCGAATAGTCGTTCGTTTTGTGCTGCGCAAGTATGCAATCAGTTCCATTTTGGCCATTACAAGAAGTGGGTTATTGATGTAGACAAATGCTCATGTATCCTTTACAACTCGTTTTATGTTTGTCTTTAACAAATAAAATAGAAGTCAGTCAGTCACCCAATAGTGTCTGACAGTGAAGTATAGAAAGTAAACGGATTTCCTTGCGTAATTTGAATACTATAGGACACTGCTAACGTTTGAAATTCACAAATAGCACATACGTGATATATTCATAATTCCTACAAAGTTCTACAGAATTTGATGTTGGTTGCAAAAGGGATACGGGGATATTCCCAATCTAATTATGGTCCCTGAATGGCGAAAAAATTTGAAATTTGGTAAAAAGATGAAGCAAATTTGAAAGAATAATGGCAATGAAGTATAGGGAGATCAAGGAAGGGGAGTTATTGGCTGTGCCTTGCCATGCTGCCCCGGCCTCCCCCTTATTCCTTGAGAAAATGGATAGTTATGTAACACCTATTTTCCCCCCTCTCTCTCCTCCAATTTCTCACTTTCATGAACATTATGTTATATCTCTCTCTCTCTCTCTCTGTATATACATATGTTCTGATGGAATTTATACTGTCTTAAACATAAAAATGCGTACAGCAGATATTTCAAAACTACCATATAGGAGGTGAAAACCCGAAAAGTAAAGATCGTGCTCGGGAACGTCAAGAACAAATGAAAAGACAAAGTGATTTAAGAACATAATGAAGTAAATACACCTATTTGTACTTTTAGCGGTAACTTTTCGTATTTTCACTTTCTGTATTCGTATCAAAAGTCAATTCAAGTGGCAAATTATTTCTAATCATCTACAATTTAGCTTTCTTTCATTTCCCTTCATCCAAAATTCCTTCACATTGTACTCATATTTCAAAGTAATTTATAAACGCCGTGTGCAAAAGAACTATTTAAATACGGGAAGGCAATTTTCCTCGATAACGACTACATTAGCATTGATCGCAGTATCATCACGAGTCATCACTTTCAGTCTACAATTATTATATACATCTTACTGGAATATTATTGTTCCTTTTTTTTTCATTACAGAAATTGAAACATCGGCGATCCTGAAAGTACAATCAGCAAACTTCATGTGAAGGGAAGCACGGAGTAATTTTACATAATAAACACATTGGCAAAGTACTTCTATCGTTATAGCTAATTAAACAGTTGAATGACTGATTCATCAAATGGACGTTAATTTTGGTGACTGAGCACAGTGGTGAAGTGTACAAGAACTGTAGTGCATGAAAGCAACATTCCCCTATAATCATTGATTAGGCTGAACAACTATTTTTAAAGCACTGATTAAAATATGGTGAAGATATTTTTAAAGTACAAACTGAAGAATGACTTTCAAACAAGCGTTTACTGGGAGTTGTGAGCAGCATGGATCTACGATCAGTGGTCTGTGCCTTGATGATGTGGACATTCTTAAATGTATCAGGTGACCATGTCGAGTACAGTGACATCACTTACAGGAAAGATGGTGATCTGATCCTTGGCGGGTTATTCCCTATCCACGAAACGGGTCCTTCTGGGTTGAGGTGTAGTAAGCTCCGGGAGACAGAGACCTTGCATCGCTTAGAAGCCATGGCGTTCGCTATCGAAGAGATCAACAACCTCACAGACATTCTGCCAGGTGTGACACTAGGATTCGAGATCAGAGACACGTGTTCCGATGTTTCCATGACGCAGATAGGAGCTTTGAAGTTCCTTCCGTCGGACTTCACCCGCGGGGCTACCTGTCCGATGTCGACCAACGCGAGCACGTTATTGGAAGCCAGTCCGATCATAGGGGTGGTGGGTACAGAGATGAGCAAGACGACAATGTCTGCAGCCCAACTTCTTGGTTTGAACCATGTACCTGTCGTGAGCTATTATGCAACAAGTGATGACCTGTCTGATACGATCCAGTATCCATATTTCTTGAGGGTAGTTCCACCTGACAGACTCCAGGTACAGGCGATGCTGGAGCTTATCCGGACTTATGAATGGTCCTACATCTATCTCCTGCACTCGGACGACAGCTATGGGACAAACGCGTTCCAAGAAATTGTTCGCGTTGCGGATGAGATTGGCGTTTGTCTTGCGGAAACTTGGGAGATTGGATCTCAATTAACAGAAGAAGACTTTGATAATATTATTATGAACATGCAGATGAGGTCTCAGGCAAAGGTCGTGATCCTCTTCATAAATGTAGTAGAAGCCAACAGCTTTTTTGCTGCATTAAGGAGAAGTGGGGCAGTCGGGGATTATCAGATTTTGGGCAGCGATGGATGGGGAATGAGTATTGGGGAAATTGAGACTTTAAACAGGCCGGCTGCTCTTGGGTCACTCAAGACTCATCTCTTCTCGGCTCATGTGCAGAATTTTGAAGACCACTTCCTGGGACTGACACCCACAAAATCCCATGACAATCCGTGGTTTCAAGAGTACTGGAACTCCAGTAGGAACTGTTCGTTCATCAAGCACGGCGCATCCTGTCTCTCAAGTACAGGCTTCAGTGCTGGAAGTGCTGTATCCTTGGTTTTAGATGCAGTCTCTACTTTGGCTCTAGGCCTTTCTGAAATGCACAAGGACCTATGTCATGGTCAGTCTGGGATCTGCCCAGCCATGACGCCGTTTGATAGTGCACTTCTCTTTGACTACATGACTAACCTATCCTTTGAGGGTCAGTCAGGATTTGTGACCTTTGACAGTGGAGGGGATGCGATCGGTCGCTATGTCATTGACAACATCCAAGTTGAAAATATCAACTATGAGTTGGTGAAGGTCGGTCTCTGGAGTGCCATCCAGGAAAACCTCTTGGTAATGAACAACTCAAACGTGGTCTGGGGACCTGAAGAATCCCGTCTAGTCGGAACTGCTCCTCTGTCGTACTGCAGTGATCCCTGTGGGAATGGTCAAATTTATATCCCTCGAGAAAACGTCTGCTGCTGGTCATGCTTGAACTGTTCTGATGATGAAATCACGATGATGAATCAGACAGCTTGTTTGAAATGTAACCAACGAGCTGCTCCCGATGACGACCAACTCAACTGCATCCTTGTAGAAGCTAAATACATCCTGTGGAACGATCCTTTGGCGATTATGTTGACAGTTTTAGCGATTGGTGGACTTGTCCTGGTTTCAATGGTGCTCTTCTTTTACATTAGCAATCGGAACAACTTGTTGATCAAAGCCTCCAGCCGTGAACTGTGTAGTATCATTCTAGTTGGTATTTATCTCTCATACATTCTTGTCTTTTTCCTCGTTGCCAAACCGACTTTCGGCACCTGTCTCATCTGTCGCATGATGCTTATGCTCTCCTTCACCATCATCTACGCTCCAATATTGACGAGAGTCAACAGGATATACCGCATCTTTGATCGCGCACAAAGGTCTGTCCGGAGACCTGGATGTATCAGCCCGACGTCACAAGCAATAATCGCTGTCATTCTCATCGGTGTTCAGGTTAGTTATCACTGAAATGGAAAATAAAAGCAAAAACAACATTTAATAATTATACAAGGATACTACGTCTTTATGGAACTAATCAACACATTTTGCAACTTACCTTCTGCATAGAACGATAAATGCCATTCTCTTGAAATGATGTTCAAATAAGGTCTTGATGAAACGTTGTAGGCTTGTTTGTAATTTACTTATATCTTATCGAACATCGATGTACTAGCCCACGAGACCGCCTATGAGAATCGTATTGCTCTCAAGGGTTTTGGGTCTAGCATGATGTCTCCGTATTAAGCATCGATCTACATCATGCGTACATGCAGCCTCAACTTTGTAAAATGATTTAATAATTCAATTAATCAATTAAACATAATTCATAGTTCATGTAACCATCTTTTTCACTTTTCAGGTTCTGGTAAACACTGTGTGGATGATCCTCGTGCCTCCTGCAGCGGAGGAGGAGTTGGTTGCCCCACAACGAGTCGAGCTAGTGTGCAACTTTTCAAGCGAAGAAATCATCACCTCGCTCAGCTACAACGTTATCTTGCTCACCCTGTGCAGCAGCTTCGCCTTCATGACGCGTAAGGTTCCAAACAACTACAACGAATCTCGCTTCATCGCCCTCTGCGTCTACACCGTCCTCGTCATCTGGATCGGGTTCATCTCTAGTTACTTCGCCATCAACGACGCCAAACTCAAGGTCGTCGTCCTCTCCCTCGCCATGATCTGCAACGGCACCATCACTCTCTGTTTCATGTTCCTTTCGAAGCTCTACGCCATCTATTTCGAGAAGGAGGTCATCATCAACCCTACAACCTACAACGGATCAGGCAGAGGGACTACGACCGGGGAAACCAGTGAAGGCAATCAGGATATCGACGTTCGCGTTGAGGAAGGCGGCGGTGGTGAGAAAAAAAGCACTTCGAAGTTTCGGAAAGCTACAGTTCGGCCATCGGGAGAGGACTTCCAAGCTAAGCAATCGTACGGTGTGGCAGCCACCGAGAAAAATACCCTAAAGGGACGTCAGTATCCACCTCGAGAGAAAAAGTGTTCAACTATATCAGGATCGGAGAGCAGTTGTAGCTGACTATAGTAGGATCTTCGCGGTGTAAATGTTCATTCATTGGACACTTGCTTGAGAGGCCGAGGGTTCGAATCCTTACACATGGATGGGATGCCATTGGAGCAAATTATCCGCAGTTGTCTCCCTCGCCACATGTGCAGTGAAGGATTGTCTGGTTGGATTATTCCATAAAATGCACTATAGAATGTCAGACTTAAAAAGTATTCAAGTTCAGAATGCAGCAGAAAAGAGACAATGCTGCTCCTGTGAGACGCTGTACAAAAGAATGGAATATTATTATCATGATTATTCTAGTTATTGTTATTATAGTAATAAAGATAACAGTGATGACGATGATGATGTGATGATGATGATGATGATGGTGATGACGATTATTGTTATAATTATGTTCATTATTATTAGTATATTATCATTATATCGTTATCAATTTCACTACCATCATCATTAATTACTATTTTATTTGTGTACCCGTTTGTTGACTTTACAGAGCAAATAAAAGATTACACCACGGCAAGAATAAGTATCTCGAAGGATCATCCCTTATATTCGGTGGTATGACCAAAACAATATATAGAAGACATTTTACATTTAAAAAGCACATCATCGCATTATCATCCAAACAATGATCATGTTTGGGTGTCCATGTCTGTATTTTAATTAGGCCTACAATCTGTATGGCAGGAGCAGGGCAACAACACTCTAAATTGTGTTTGGGATTATTGCTAGTGCCTCTATTTTGCCAAGACGGTCTTGTATATTATCTATTTTTATACACCTGTATATTTTATATTGTATATATGCACTAATGTTATTTATATTACAAACAGAATATGAGGTATTGCATTTCAAGATACGAATCTGATCGTATAATATATACGATGATAAAAGGTAACATACACAGCAAATATACATGCAAGGAGTTGATAGACTGGAGGAGAGGGATGGTGGTAATATGACCTTAAAATGTATGTATCTTTTACAATTTTGTCGGCAAGTTTCACTTTCTTTCGTTCTTCCTAATGCTAAATTTAAAATTCAAGTTAGTGGTCGCATTTATTGCTCGATCCAGTGAAAGGTCATAGCCTGCTGATGACACGTGTGTTTCAGTAAATAGGCATGTCCAACCTAGGTATATGGCCACTAATTTGTGTCACATATTAAAGTATCATGATGCGATAAACACAGAAACTATCATTTTCTTTGAAAGTTGGTTTTATCCTATAGCTAAGGCTATCAATTAACTGCTATTATTACCATAGATGATGATTAAAGAGAATAGGAAGTTCATACCAAGATTTTATGTTGAATATCAGTATGGATCCGTCTGTAAATAATATATATTTCATGTTATCTTTTACCCATTTCATTTTTAAATCTTTGTACATTGTTGTTTATTTCTATACGATTGTGTCTACTTTGCACACGATCCGTCACACGATCCGTCACACTATTTTTTTTATGGGGGGGGGGTAGTACGGCAAGTCTATGAAAATGTCCCACATATCACAAATCAAAGGTCATAGTTACATGCAGTCTCTCGCACAAAGATGTACGTTTACACGCAAACCCAAGAATGAAACGCGACTCCACTAGCTAACATCCAATCCGGATAGCTAATTTTGTAGGAACTGCGTTTTGTTGGACAAATTGTAAAATGGGAGAGGCTCTTCGGGTATGAAGCTTATTACATTACACAAGGGAATACATATGTACATACCAATACTATCGATGTCTTATTTTGTCATACATTAGGCCGGGATATATTTCATCTTGGAATTACTAAAGATGATGGACTAGATGTCAGCATTAATATGCTCGCATCACAACTTAATCCCTTCTTAACAGAGACCCCCATGATATATCAATGCATATGCGACTTTTAAAGAAGACATCAAAATGCGATCACAATCCTTACAAAAATTCAACTAAATGCGATTAAAGTAGTCTTGTACGCCACCATTGGAAGTTTGCGAACGTTAGAATTACAAAATCCAAACATCATTTCTATTCATTGCAAAAGGGTATTAAAAATGATTTCTTTAAAATCATGATTGTATTGAAACTTATAATTGCTTATAAAACTTCATACCAATGTCGAGACTGTTTTCTTTGAAGAAAAAGGATATCTGTAGCTTCCCACAAACTGTGTGGTAGGGCTGTTGATGTGATGTAACGTAATTTCATTCAAAAAGCGCAACACTGATCTATTCGACTGTTATAATTCTTCAGGTTAGGAACTGAACTGGTGGGATTATAAGCAAACTACGATGATAGCACGTACACATACAATTGCACTTCGCATGGTGTAATAAGTGAACATTTTTGTATGGCATGAAGGTACCGTTAGAGTCCAATTAATGCCTGTGGTAGCTTGTAAATCAAATAAGAAAACCGACCACTGCTGCAGTATTGTGATGCATCATGCATCTCGTAAGATAGACTGTGCTATGTTTAAGGATCAGCAGCTTTTCATGATTAAAATTACAAATGGTTTGATTAATTAATGATATTGTGGCAAGATCTACCCTCATGTCAGAAACCGCGATGGTATTGAAATTAATAAAGTACGTTGACAGGCACACAAAACTCTTCTTTAAATTACATTACATGCTGTAACAAGATTTAAAAACCTCAACATATTTCATCTAATAAATATTGTATGATAACCCCAAAACAGAGTCGACATGTTGTATTGTATTAACATTTTAAACGACGTTCTACTCAATTTTTTTGTCTCGTTTTCCAAATGTTTCGAATCGATGACATCCTAAAAAAAGTACATCATAATTACTTCAGACAGATGTAATTAAGTGAAAGTATCGCACATCTAGATGATTATATGGGAAGAGATATAGAAAGAGAGGAAGAGAGAGACAAAAAAAAAAGAGAAAGAAAGAAGAGAGAGGGATGGAGGGAGAGAAATGGAGAGGAAGAGAGAGAAATATGTTGGAGTTGATGAGATAAGTGCAAAGGTTGAAGAGGTTTACACCAAATAAAACAAGGTGTAGCACACCCCCCAAAAAGAGACAATAAGATTCCAGTGTACCCGTGCCCCACCTCTCTCTCTCTATCTCTCTCTCTCTCTCTCTCTCTCTCTCTCTTCCCCTATCCTTTTTCATCGTTTTCCTTCCCCCACTCTCCCCCTTTTCGCTCATTTCTCCTCTTTCTTTTACTTTCCTCCTTTTCCCTCATCCTTTTTCACTCTTGTCCTACACCCACTCCTCCACCCCTTGCTTTTACTTTCCTCCTTTTCCCTCATCCTTTTTCACTCTTGTCCTACACCCACTCCTCCACCCCTTGCTTTTACTTTCCTCCTTTTCCCTCATCCTTTCTCACTCTTGTCCTACACCCACTCCTCCTCCCCTTGCTTTTACTTTCCTCCTTTTCCCTCATCCTTTTTCACTCTTGTCCTACACCCACTCCTCCACCCCTTGCATTTTCTTACCCCCTTGCTTTTACTTTCCTCCTTTTCCCTCATCCTTTCTCACTCTTGTCCTACACCCACTCCTCCTCCCCTTGCATTTTCTTACCCCCTTGCTTTTTCTTTCCTCCTTTTCTCCCTAATGCGCATGCACACCCACACACACAGGCACACCCACACATCCCCACTTTTCCATGAACCTTGGCCTTCATTATCGATATTACAAATCAACATCAATCCTCTTAGAAATTAACAAGGTTCCACTAGCAGTAGCTAACAAAGCAATTATTTTTCTAATGCTTGCACGAGGATCCTTGGATGTATCATTAGCCCATTTTCATGAACCTATCAAAACATTAAAAATGTTAGACAAGACGTTAAATCGTATTACCTCTTATTACTAACTTACACGATGTTTCTTTTCAAGGCATGAAAAATGTAATTTAATTATAGAATGCTACATAAGTCTAACTTTGACTTTAAAAAAATAAGACTTCCCGTCTCCCTCTTGGGAATAGAACATGCTATCAAAACGATCTTTCAAATTACAAATCATTTTGCAAGCAGATAGCAGCCTGTATGGAAGTCATGGTCACCAAAACAAATAAGATGATTTCTTGGAAAAAATAATACAGAAGAGGAAATGCATGCATCTACATTTCCAAATACATAATATTTAAGGTGATACGATTTTTACTTGGCGGTTTCACGGGTGTAGCTTAAGAACACTCACAAAAGAGCTGCTTATATAGACAAATATTTAAAACATATATATTCTTTATTAAGAAAAATTTGAATTGTAATTTATATATCTGTAAACATTTGCACACAACTATATAAAAATGTTTAGGTATATTTATAAGTGAATATTACAGTAATTTCTTCTATTTGCAGTGTCATTAATCACTATCATTCTATTTATCTCAACAGTAATAATAATAATAATAGCTTGTTCTTATATAGCGCTTTTCAGGACCGGAGGCCCTCACAAAGCGCTTTACAGATAAGTATATTATTACCCCGGTCATTGGATTCAGGCTTACCCGCACACAATGTATGCACATTCTCCACTCCCTGGGGAGCATTCCAGCCAGGCGTCATTTTTACATGCGCACACTTGCTAATCTATCCACATTAGCTTTCGCATCCTACCGGGTACCCATTTAACACCTGGGTGGAGAGTGGCAAATGTAGATCAATGTACACAATAATCTCACATTAGAAAAAACATACATCAGATAAGCAACATTTCTTCCACACCTCTGAATAGTAGGGGCATGGCTAGAGGGATTTGTCAACCCCCCCCCCCCCCCCCCCCATTTACAAGAAGAAGAAAAAAAATACATGTGAAAGGTTGTGGGTGAATTCTAAGGTATATTCTGATGACTGGTGACATTCTTTTGTTACAATCCTTAAGCTACTTGTTGGCAAATTTGGTCTATCAGTCACCCTCCATTAAAAATGGTATAGTGACGCCCTAGCTGAATAGTCATATGTCTATACATCAATCACACTGACCAGACTGACAAAAGACCAAACAAAAAATGACATTATCCAGAATGTCCAAGAATCGGTCGGTTTGGAATCAGAGTGGAGTCTGTTTGGCGAAGTGACTATTAAAAGTGGAGTCGGAAATTGAAAAGTTTGCAGCATTGCAAGCCTTGCATAAAAATAACAATACCCAATCGGTTATAAAAATCAGGCAGCTGTTTGATTGGTCTGTCACAGCGTCATCAAATAGATGAGGTGATTAAGCCTCCATTATCCTACTGAAAGCTTAGAACACAATCACATCCACTCCCTACCTCCAATTGATGAAAACAGCTTCACAGCAAGTGACAGTGATGCTGATAGTGTATGATGGGGAGGTAGGAGAGATAGAAGAAAGAGGAAGACTACGACAAGAAGAAGATGGCGTTGATAGTGCAGCTAAGGGGCAAGTCATAGCATATCTGCATGAACCTGAGCCCTGGGCATGGTTGGGAGAAGGGCTCGGTTTGCCTTTTAATGACAGAGATGCGGTTTGAGGGTTGCAGACAACTTGGATTTTTGGGAAAGTTTAATTAAGATCATTCTTCGCAAATTTCTATTTTCAAGCAGATTAAATCATAGATGAATCAATGCAGGATTCAAACCTCCAAATATCAATTACAATTAGATCTATGTCGGAAATGGAACTGCACGTCATTATACTGATTTTCAGTCTCAGGATTGATAACAGAAGTGATTGAACTGCATAGAAAATCATCATCATAATCCCCATTCATAAGTTGACATCTTAACAAACAACAAAAAATAACAAGATATTTGGAATAATCTAAATGCATAAGTCATTCTTACTTTATATAAATGGCAAAATAGGCAATTTTAAAGTTTCATTACCTAAATTTGTGTATGCGTATGTTTTTGTGTGCTTCTCAGTAGCGCCCCGAGCTAGCGCTCCGGCTCCCCGTCCCAAGTGGGACGTCATGATTCAGAACTTGTATATTTCGCTTTCAAGCCAGGATTTGAAGTTCTAAGAAGGGTCTTGGAAAATGTTTATTGAAGAGTTTAATTGATATTTACACAACTTTAAAGCAAATGATTTGTGTTCTCATTGATATAAGCTTTTTGCACAGCTACGTTAAGGCACTGATGAAGAGTGTTGTAGTGGTCCATAAAATGTTGCCTCACAGCCATCATAGGCATAGGCATAAATAGTCAGTTTTTAATGAATTGCCTTAAAAAATAATCTAACAACAACAACAACATTAAGGATTTAGGGTACGCTATTCATCCATAATTTATTGATTTATTTTAATTATTTATACATCTTTATTCAGGGTAAACATGATCAGCAAAGCTGTTATTCATCATGGCCCTGGTTGAAATAATCATGGCCCTGGTTGAAATACAATCTTAAAAAACACCTCAATGAGTGTATGCAAACATTAAAATACATTTAAATGTTTAAAAGCAAAAGTTTATGATGCACATGTATAATGTCACGATGCGGGAGAGACATAGTCATAGCTTGACAAAGAAGCCACTGCCAGAAGGTTTTACAATCATCCATGGTGAGTTGCTTTACAGCGATGACTTTCGTCAAGGCACCGATGAAGAGTCCGATAGACAATCGTCCATGGTAGGTTGTCTTACAGCAATCACCAAGAGTCTAGGGTATTCTGGCTTTACCTCAAATGTCATGATGCAAGAAAGATCTATCACTGCTTCCTACAAGCAAACCACTGACTTTCCTCAAGGCACTGACGAAGAGCATTACAATCATCCATGGTAGGTTGCCTTACAGCGATCACTAAGGGTCTAGGGTACTCTGGCTTCACCTCAATCGTCATAATGCAGGAAAGATCTATCAAGGCTTCCTACAAGCAAACCACTGACAGAGAGCATTACAATCGTCCATGGTAGGTTGCCTTACAGCGATCACCAAGGGTCTAGGGTACTCTGGCTGCACCTCAATTGTCATGATGCAGGAAAGATCTATCACTGCTTCATACAAGCAAACCAAGGACTTTTCTCAAGGCACTGACGGAGAGCATTACAATCGTCCATGGTAGGTTGCCTTACAGCGATCACCAAGGGTCTAGGGTACCCTGGCTTCACCTCAATTGTCATGATGCAAGAAAGATCTATCACCGCTTCATACAAGCGAACCACTGACTTTCCTCAAGGCACCGACGAAGAGCATTACAATCATCCATGGTAGGTTGCCTTACAGCGATCACCAAGGGTCTAGGGTACTCTGGATTCACCTCAATCGTCATGATGCAGGAAAGATCTATCAAGGCTTGCTGGCAACGACCAATACCCTGAAAGAAATGGTACAATAAAAACATTTTAATCATCAGACAAACAATCTTGCCAGTGTACATGAATATAACTGGTGTTCTTTTTTAAATTTTTATATAAGAGTCACTTTTGTCATCCTCTAGCTTCCAAAAGTAAATGGTGCAATATTGATGTTGATGTAAAATAACATTACACTACGACTTGTCAGAATACATTTGTAAAACAGAAATGTAAAAGAAACACAAGTAACATAGATTCAACAGATAAGATAAAAATGTGTAAGAAAAGGAAGTAATGAATACAGATGATTGAGACGGATGAGAATGTTGGCGATTAGCATAGAACCAGTGGATATTTAAAAACAAATCATTCTTGCGTTTGAGTTTATTGATTTCACATTTCACATGCAGATACAATACAGATAACAAAATATATATAAAATACATTGTTTCATAATTTTTGTTTAAATTATTATAGTAATTGATAAATTAATCATACTACAAAGTTACATATCATCAACTTTGCTTGATAACTATTATCATTTAAAGGAAACCAAGACAAGAAAAGCACATAACTGTGAAATGTGCAGGAACCTATAGAAAAGCATAACTTGTAAAGAACTTGTTCAATCTTGTTCACATCATGATATTGCAAAGACATATACTACACTGCATGAATATTACCTCTTGGCGAGTATAAAGAAGGAGAATGGGACAAGAATAGTTAATGATAAAGCAGGGTAACAAACCTGTTTAATGGACTCTTTAATTTCATTTGCTTTCTCCTTTTCACTCTTTTTCATACTGGCCTTCATCTCCTGTAAAACAAAGACATTAATTAGAGAAACTTGTTACAATTAATATTGATTTAACCAAATGTGTGAAAATAATTGTGGTGATTTTTTAAAATAAAGATATGACCAAAAATTAAAAGTCATTAACCCAGAGTAATGTCATACATCAGATAGTAAATAAATTGTGGACATGATTACTGTTGAATGTCAAATCTGATGCCCCCTGATATTTCTTAAAAGGGATAACTTTTTTCAGATATACTTACAGTGTATATTAAAGCAAGTATGAATATTTTCTTTACATCTATATCAATTTTCTTATGTAAAGCGCATAGAGAATTAAATTTAAATTATTATTATCTATGCAAATGAAATCTCATCATTATTATATAGGGTCTACAAGGATAATTTCCTTTCATTGTCCTCATTGCGAGTGCTGCTATATCCTGATTGAAGTACCACTCACCATCATTTCAGCCACAGTGAAACCAATCATCTTAGACAAAACCTGGAAGAGGGAGGCGGAGGAAAGTAGAAAAAAGGCTTGAAAGAAGATGACTTCTAATTACAGTCGAACCCGCTTTAGTGACCACCTGTCTACAAGGACCACATTTGTTGTTTTCCTATGAAAATGGTTTCTTGATGAAACATGTACTATAGGAACCTGTACATAAAGACCACCTGTCTATGTATAAAGACCACTTTCCTTGTCTCCCTTGGGTGGTCTATATAGACAGGTTTCATTGTAATATCATCTACAAGAGATTTCTGAGCTATTTCTTTAGAGTGCATTCACATTTCAAACAATAAATGTAATAAAGCTACAGCAGTTACCTATGAGCTTAGGCATCTATATTTCTTGTTAAAGGTACTATGTCCCATTTACAGGCCAAAACAAAGAAAAGATTAAATTCTAACGGCATTTGAAAGATAATACTAATTTAGAATTTCCCTACAAAAAGGGGGCTTGAAAATATCTTTGAGTGGGAAAATAGCGACTATTAGTTGTTGAATAGACTTAAGAGCTATAGAGCCAGTAAGTAATAGTCTGATTTTAGACCATTGAACCAAATGGTCGTACGTTTTATGCTGCGCAAAGATTCAATCAGTTTAATTTTGGCCATTGCAAGAAGTGGGTTATTGATATAGACAAATGCTCATGTACCCTTTACAGCTCATTTATGTATGTTATTACCAAAGAACAAAAAAAGCCAGTCGGTCACTCAATAGTGTCTGACAGTGAAGTATAGCAAGTAAACGGGTTTCCTTGCATAATTTGAATATTAGACACTGTTAACATTTAAATTTGACAGATAGGACATACATGACATATTCAAGATTCCTGCAAAGTTCTACAGAATTTGATGTTGGCTGCAAAAGGGACATAGTATCTTTAAGATATGATGCAGTTAGCAATGGCTTTTTTTCCTTCTTATCATGTGAGCATAATTATGCTTCATATTTGTATATCTTATAACACAGAGCTCGGTGAAAACTTGCAGGACCTCTTTTGCACGTTGTAAAAAATGAAATGCAGACATTTACCAATTTATATGTGAACGGAGCAAAAATTTTCCTTTCTAATATGACAGTAATAAACAATTTGCTTGCCTCCAATGTCAGCTCAAGTTTGCTAAAGGCCCCAGCTGAGAAGTACAAGGAGGTCATATAATGAATTCTTCTAAACTAACAGTAATCACTCTTTCAAGTAACTGAATGGAAATTGGAATTAATCTACAGAGAATAACAAGTATTTTATATTTGGTTGTGAGATTGGTGATTCAACAATGCACACTCCATTCATGATTGCTCTACAGTAATTTTCTAACACTAACCATATTTCTAACTGATGCAAAAGAGTACTGCAAGTGACCCTGATTGCTAACTACCTTAAACCTTATCTAAAACACAATAATAATAATAATAATAATGAACATTTGTATAGCGCCTTTTCTACAAGTAGATACAAAGCGCTTAATTAACATATACAATGAACAATTAACAAAATAGAAAGATGCTTAACAACAGACATGTATGTAACAATATAGGAATGAACAAAATAAAGGGTAAGACAGGTAATAGAAGAGCAAGAACAAGTGCTGGTAAGCGGGCATTAGTTAAACAAGTGTGTTTTGAGGTGTTTTTTGAAAGTCATTAGAGAATCAGCAGTTTGTACAAAATTGGGGAGATTGTTCCATGATTTTGGAGCAGTGACTATGAATGCCCGCTTACCAGCATTGGTTCGACACCTTGGGGTATCTAAAACTGTACGAGTGTTGGATCTTAGGTTGTAACTGGAGTGCCTAACATGAACGAGATCAGTAAGATATGAGGGAGAGAGATTGTGTAACGACTTAAAGACAAGGGTGGAGGTCTTGAAGAGCACTCGCTGTTGAATAGGAAGCCAATGCAGAGAGTTCAACAAGGGCGTGGTGTGTGTGCTCTTTGGTTGTTTGAAGATGAGGCGTGCAGACTGGTTCTGGAGAAGCTGAAGACGGTGAATGTTCTTTGCTGTTGTGCCACTCAACAAACTGTTACAATAATCAAGACGAGATAAAACTAAGGCACGGACTGCAGCATGAGTGGTACTTTCGTCAAGATATTTTCTAATCCTGCATAAGTTCCGGATATGATATTTGACAGTCCTGACTACATTTGAGACGTGAACATCTGGCAGCATGAGGTTGTCAAAGACGACGCCAAGAATACGCAGCTTCTTTGACGGTTTAATCACAGTCCCATCATGAAGAGTTAGAGTGAACACCAAATCAATATTTTTGATTAAGTACAGCCCAAAGGAGAGCATTTGTCGGATCACCAGAATTTGTATGATCTGCAACACTTATCTCGGCTTGAAAAGTACCATTCGTTGTAGAATATTTACATTTATATGCCACAAAAATAGTCACCCTTGAGCAGAGCATATGTCTGGTCACCAAGATTTGTGCAGATCAGCATTTATCACTACATTAGTGGAAAGCTATCACCCGCTGTAGAATATTAAGTCTCGGTAATTCTTATGAGTACCAGATGATTGCAGTGGTTATGTGTACCTTGTCTGAGATATCTACATCGAGAGACATGGTGCCATCGTTGATCTTAGCAGCTAGACTCCAGGATGGGTTATGAGACAGACTGGACACAAGAGTCATGATAAAGCCCTGAAAACAACACATATTTACATTAAATAATACCATTAGAAGTGCATGCAAAATATATAAGTGGTTCACTTTAAATCTATCTTCCTCAATACATGAATGATTAAAAATACAAAAGATTACAAAAAGAAGACATACCGGTAGTGACATCAACCTAGGTCTACATGTAACCCAGTGGTCATGGTAAAGCATGTCAGCATTCAGTTAATGTATTGTTTCTGATTTTGTTATGCATGTAAACCATTCCTATCAACATCCTTTGAGCTGTGCTGAGAATTGTTAATGAGATCAATGGTGTAACTACTACAAACATTGTGTTTACTGTTTAGTATTATTATGATTACCAGTTACCACATCACTTGGGTGAAGAGTGGCAAAGTAGACTGATGCCTTATCCAACACGTCTATAAATTCCACATCATGTTACAATAATATGAATATACATACACAGATTTTGAACGAAAATCATATCGAGTAGACGCCTTCCCCACCAGAACCTACGTAGATGTAAATGATGATGATGCTGATGCTGATACTTATGATGATGACGGTAATGGTGATGATGATGGTGATGATGATGATGATTATGATGCTGATAATGAAGATGATGATGATGATGATGATGATGACGATGATGATGATGATGATGACGATAATGATAATGGTGATAATGATGATGGAAGTGGTGGGGATGATGACAATAATGATGGTAATAACAGTTGATTCTAAATGATCACATACCTTGATATCAAAACGACATGCTTCCTTCCTCTTCAGCTGGTCAGCCATCTTGGTGAGATAGATAAAAGGACGGGTACACTTGGGTCCTGAATGGAGACAGAAAGATCTTGACAAGCTCAAAAATATGAACTCTACTTTATATATCTCTACGGTTCTAGGAAACCTACCCCCCATATAACCACCCTCTAGGACAACTACCCCTTGACAACTACCCCCGGATAGTTGTCAGGGCTACTAGAGAATGGTAGTCTGGGGGTAGTTGTCCGGGGTAGTTGTCCTAGAGGGTGGTTATCCTAGGGGTGGTTATCCGGGGGTGGTTTTCCAGGGGGTAGGTGTCAGGATACGATCTCTACATGTAGATTCTATACTTCTTTGATAATAGACCAGTTCAGAGATAGCCCACACAACTGACCCCCAACTATCCACATATCTTTAAAACATGTAGAAGTATCACTTTGTGCATTTTAGAATAATCACTTGCCAGAGTGATGGAGGAGCTTCATGAATAGATTATTCCCCCTGTGTATTATAGAATGTATTTTCGGTGCATAAATGAATAGTGATTGCATTGCTTTTATGATTACGTATCAACCATTTTTCTTGAAGAGTTTAAAGTTATGTAGAAAGGACCTTGACCTGCCCATGCGCAGATAATATTTCCAAAATGGCTAATTGTCTGTTTATGCAGATTAGTTGATTTTGTACCAGTGTTAGTTTTGCTCCATTTTGTACATTTGTACATGTAGTATATTGATGTCTTAATGTACACGCTGGTCATAGAGTTCATGTAGTGATGGCACTTGCCTAAAAAACACTGCCGGTATACATTGTATGCCTATTGATTAATGATAGGTCTCCTATTATTCTTTTAATTCATCTCCCCCAAAACAGTGCTATATTAAATACGTAGGAATTTAGTAAATTGTCTGTTTGGAGCCAGAAGGGCATTGACTCATATACATTAATCAGAGTTAATGCCCCTCTGGCTCCACACCGATGAACTGTAGCTATCATAATTTTGGTAGTAACTCACCAGAGTGTATTCTCATTCTCTTAGGAGCATTCTCGCCCTCTTCAGACTTCACAAGACTTTGCGCTGAAACAAAATCTCTCCTCTCCGAGCCTTCCGATATCGAACCCACGTCTGTCTTGCCTACGGCTCCCTGGACCACATCCCCATGGCCTTGCTGAGAAACGGATTCTGCTTTCATGATCCGTGTAGCGACTGCTATCTTTGTGTTCACAGGCAGCTGTACACCTCTATCAGCTCTACCAAAGCTATGCTGATCACCGTGCTTCACGTGCTGTGTTCTTGTTGAGTTAATTGGCTGGACTACACAGAGTTCTGTCCTCTGAGGACCTTGAGATATCCTTGAAGCACTTGGTGGTTTCATCTCACGCTTGAACAGGGGTACAACATTGGAAGCGAATGTAGGAGATGTGTTTGAAGCTTTTGGCAGCTGGGTCTTGACTGGGGGTATCTTTGTTCTTTCGCTGCCAGGTAAACTGTGACTAACACTTGAGAAGGGTTTGATGGAGCTTCCTCCTCTATTTTCTTGAAGATTGCTACTTGATCTGACAGCAGTAGAGTGTCTCTGATATGGTTGTTCTCTAGGGTTGTTCTGTCTTTGTCCATTCTGCATCTGTTTATTGCTGCTCTCCCACTCCATGGCTAAGAGATCCTCTTCATCGATGTCTTCCACATCCCAATCTTGATGAGACAGCTCTGGCTCAGGCTTTACCTAAAAAGACAAGTTTAGATAGCCTGTCTCTGATTCTACTTCTACCCCATACAAAAGTGAAACTGCTTACAATTTGTATATCCAGATTCTCTTGCCATGAATTTACAAAAAACTTCTTCTTCAAACATCGAATATGTTGTACTCACCATCATACTAGGATCATCAAAATAATTTAAATAACAAATTCAATCCTTGCACATAATTTTTTTTAGTACATCACATGCTCTGGTCAATTCCTAAAACCTAAAACAAATTAAAATCTGGACTTTAACCTGGACAAACACTATATCTAACCCTGAAACTTATGTTAAACCTAGCACAAACTCAACTTCAACCAATCCCTTCACTCTACATCTGTGACAAAATAAAGCAAAGCCTGGAATATTAAGTCAGATCTTCATGCAATTTTCATGCTTCCTCAAAAGGGTATATTCTTATCTTACGTCAACATACCTTCTGTGCTTCTTGCTTCTCTAGATTCTCCAGCTCCTCCAGCATGAGTTCATCCAAGCCATCATCATCATCAACGAGAAAAGGGTCTTGGAACCCTTGATGACCAACTGGTTTGGTGTCTTGTACTGACCGTGAGGGACCTTGATTCCATCCATGATGACCAGTGGGCTTGGTGTCTTGGTTTGACCTTGAATGACCTTGGTTAAATCCATGATGAACACCTTGCTTTGTATCTGAGATTTGCCTTATGTGACCTTGATTCCATCTTTGTTCAGTGGGTGTATTGACTCGTGGCTCCTGCTTTACAGGAGCCTTGTGAGAGGTGTCCCTGAAAGAAGCATATATTATAGCAATAAGTATTTCAATTTGTTGTTTACTTGTTGGGATTAGTAATGAGATTGTTATTGTCCTCTATTGGCCTGTCTTAGAGGAGGAGAGGAGAGTAATTTTCTACGTCTTCTTGAAATAATTCTGTCACCACTCTGCTGCTAGCTATTTATACCTTCTTCTACACGTTATAATACAAAGGAACTATTGAACATTTTCTAGGTACAAGCTCACAGTGATCGCATATATCTACCTTAAAAGTGCTTGAACAAGCACATTCGTGAAAAGACTTTATCATCCCATGTGTGAAAACATGACATTTGGCTCTTCCACATTCCAAAATCCAGAGGACGTTTTATAAACACCAGTAGCAAGCACGCTTACAAAACGTAAAGTATCTGAAAATGTCCTATCATGAGAACTGGTGCCTTGGTCCCACAGATATTGTGGTCATAAATAGTGCTCTCTATTGAACTTCAAAGGCTTTATTTTCAAAATTTCATTAAGGTTATCGATTAACCTTCCCCTTCTGACATTGCTGTTTTGTTTTAATGAAACAAATTTACTGAGAAATCTCACCTTGGTAGTGTCTTGTGTTGATTTGACTGCTGCCTTTGAATGGTGGTGACAGGTTGATTCTGTACGGGAGCAGTGGTGGTGTTGTTGGTGGTGGTGGTGGTTTGTCCTGTAGTAGTTGTGACAGTGGCAGTTGTACCCTGACCCCGATTGTTGCTACCAACTGGTCTATCAGGCGGAGTCACTCCACTGTATATACAAAAAAGTACTTAAAGTTACAGTGAAGCTTGTATCCTAGTAAGGTATAATTTCAATGACATGCATTCTCTCATATTCTGGTTCTATATTGAAAGAACTTCCAACTTCACGTGTAGTGTCAAGTTTGATAGCCTAGTATAATCCTGATTTTTAATTTAAAACGGTTTTGCTTGAAAATATTACTGTAATTTTTGACAAATTGTCAATAGAAATTGTTATTAGTTTTTTTAAAAGGAACACATAAGTAAATCAAATGAAAATGAAATAAAAATGAAGTCCGGAACAAAAGTTGCAGGAGTCAATTTTCGACTAGTGGCTACTTACATTGCTCTAGCCAGCATCTTCTCTTGGCTGTTAGCCTCCTTCAAGGCTTCTACTTCACCACCGAGAACCTTGACATGAGCAGGGGTCAGCAGAATCACACCAAGTCTGCACTGCATATCACCTGACAACATGATCTAAAGTAGGAAGAAAGAGAGAAAAAGAGGAGAGGGAGAGAAACAGAGACAGAGAGAGAGAGGGAGAGGGAGAGAAAGAGAGAGAGAGAGAGAGAGAGAGAGCAATGTTATCAAAATATTTGAATGCAAGTTTAATCCATATCATATCAGAATCACTGTATAATCAAATCAAATGAAATGACATGGCTGTGCAATCAAGTCAAATCAACTAAAATCAAATGTCAATCTGATAGAATTCTACTAGAATCAAATCAAATGACTGTGTAATAAATTAAAAAAGTAAAGGAAAGGGAGAACAGAGTAATAAATCTTGTCAATCTTGTTATACGAAACACTCCTGTAGGAGTAATATTTAGGTGTTAACGTCATCCGTGTAATATATGTCTTTTATCCCAAACTGTAAAAAATCTGTTGATGTATCCGTTTGAAAATGGTAGTGATACCGGACAAAACAATGGTCAATAGTCATATGAAGAGATTTTCCATTTTTGAATTGATAAAGGAAATGGATAAAGGTCATATGTAATACGAAACACGATGCAGAGAATGGCCGTGCATGAACTTTGACCTGCTGACCTTTGCTCCTGGGTTGAGGTTAGCTGTAAAGCCAGGCACAGGCCTGTATTCCATGGCCTGGATAGTCTCTTGACCATCGGTCAGTGACAGCATCAGCATTCGGCTGGAAGGTGGCTCAAACTGAAAAATAACATGAGAGATGGATATATTTTTTATTGATTTGAAACTTCCAATGATAACTATCAACACAAAATATACAAGAAAGTAAACAGCAAAAACGATTTCATAGAAATTATACAGGAAAATAAAAGTTTATATACTTGCATTTAATGACAAAAAAAGAAAAAAGTAATATGCTATGCTAAAGTTGGAGCACGTTAACACAATTTTTATTGTAAAAATATTAGATCTAATGAAATGCAATTACCGTGGCAGCATTTTTTCAAGATGCATGAATATGCTTTCAGAATACACCTATTTGGGGTTTACTGCAAATCAATTATTGGATTATTGGGGTATCAATTGAAAAGAAGAGCTGAGAACACACGTGATGAAAGGGCTGTCTCGGTGGCACCATTTCTGTGCAACAAGCTACCATTGGAGTGGAGAATAGCAAGTTTCAAATCCAATTGAGAAAAAATCTTTCTTAGCAATGCTTAACATGAGAATATGGCACTCATAACGTGATTGTGGTGTAGAATTGTATCTAATGAAGTTTTAAGACAATGTGGATCACCTTTTTCGGAAGAGGTTGATCAGTTTAGAAAATAGATTGCCCAATGATGTTTCTAGGGCTTTTTAGATGGGAGTGAGGGGAAGGGGTCTAAGGAAAAAAAGGACTTTTTTAGACCCTTTTTTCACCTTTTATTTTCCTTGTGATAGAAGTTGTAGATAGACAGCACCACACAAATGCCTGTTATTATTAGGCCTAAAAAAAAAATTGATGACTTGGCGTAACGGGTCACTGAAAATTAGGGTAGGTAGGGCGATTTTTTTGTTTTTTTTTTGTTTGTTTTTTTTGTTGTTGCTTATATTTGCATACATGAAACTAGCCATTCATACACATACATACATACAGTGGCGTAGATAGGTCCTCAGACCTTGGGGATGATCTGATGAGAGGGGTAGACCACAATATGTTCAAATAACTCCACGCACACACACACACATATATGGACACACACACTGTGCTGAATAAAACGTGAGCACCAAATTTACCCGTGAACTGAACGCCATAGGACGCCATGTTGGGGATACAATCGCCTAGCGGTACTATGGCGTACCTGCCCGCTGCACTCGGCGCGAGCTGGCCCAAACACGGCGCGGCAAAGCCCAGAACGAAAGCAACAAACATCCGGGTTTTCCCCACTGCGATATCGATATTTACGCAATCGCAATCGGATAAAAAAAAATAAAAAAGCGTAGGGTCGGCAATAAAAATAGGGTCGGGCGGGTTACGCCAAGTCATCAATTTTTTTTTTTAGGCCTTATTGTTAAGCAAACTTTCTGAATATCTGCAAGGTGTATCTATTTCATCCTCTTCATCCCTTCATCTTCACAATCATATCTAAACATACCTTTCCTTGTGTAGCAGGTACTGCTGTTACTGAATCATTCTCATTCTCCCTGCCTTGGAGCTTGGTGAGTTGGGCATACGCTGGACTTGATATGTCTTGAATACAGTTAACCTGTAGGGTAATATAAGAATACAAATGTAATGTTTATCTGTTGATACTTGCATTCTCTCACTGCCCTCTAGAGGCTTCGTTCGTTCGTTCGTTCGTGCAAAGAATATCAGGGAGTACATCATCTAGATAGGAAGATCCTTATTGAGCCAACAGATCGTCTCATCATCGAGCTCACGAAGTCCGGAAGCGCCGTGGGGGGATTTGTAGATCGGACAATCATCAATGACATGATCCATAGTTTGGATCTCTCCACAGGCGCAGTTTGGTGATGATTCAGCTCCAATTTTATGTAGGAAATATTGTGTGCGGCCAACTCCAGTTCTGACACGGTTTAGGTTGACCCAGGCTTTTCTTGGGAGGTCGCTGCCACTTGGTTTTGCACAGGGCTTTGGGATGAACTCCTTCAGGTTGGTAGTGGACGAATTCCACTGGTCTGACCAGCGTTTTGTTATCCAAGTGGCTAAGGTGGAGGGGGGGTTCTCGGGCCGCAGCTCAGCAGCCTGTGTTGCAAAGTGTCTTCTAGGGAGACGCTGTCCTTCAAAGGCAGAGGGGGCAGGAACAAGGCATTTATCTCTGTCATGCTTTTGGGCAAGCTTAGCATACTGCGCATCTCGTCTGAGCTGAGCTGGTGGTATGCCAGATAATATTGGCAGGTTGCTGACTGGTGTTGCAGTGAGTGTTCCGCTGATTAGTCTCATAGCGTCATTGAGGACAACATCAACCTTGTGTACATGGGTGCTGTGGCTCCATGCAGGTGCAGCATACTCGGCAGTGGAGAAGGCAAGAGCTAGAGTGGAGGTGCGAAGGGTGGTGAAATTAGCTCCCCATCCGGTCCCTGCAAGCTTCTTTAGGAGAGACACTCTGGCTTGGGTCTTTTGGGCTGTGGCTTTGGCATGCTCGTGGAAGGTGAGGCTTCGGTCAAGAGTGACACCTAGGTACTTTGGTGTTGAGACGAAGTTCAGCCTAGACCCATCTAGTGAGATATTCAGCTCTCGGTTGGCGCATCGGTTAGCCAGGTGGAAGACGGAGGATACAGTCTTTGTTATGCTTATCTTGAGATGCCATCTGTTGAAGAACTCGGCTAGCATTTTCAGGTCCTTCTCCAGTGATGTTTCGGCTTAATACCTGTAGATAAACATCGGTTTTGAGTTTTGGGAAATGAAAGAATGCAATATGTCCATCATAATCCAAATAAGATTTTTTTTTTGTAATTTAAAAAAAACAAGATATCTGCTGCTATAAACTAACTTGAATGAAATGGGATGATCTGCCTTTTGAGAACCAGGGATTTTCTTAATAAAGTTCAAAGTGCTTGTTCCCATAATTGTTTTTCGTTCAGAGCAAATTTTCAGTACTACGTCCTTTCTAGAACCAAAATTTCTTTTAGGCAGCTAAACAGTTTTATTACAAAATTATTACCCAAACTCCAAATTATCTTCACCAGTGGTGTAAACCCGTGTGTGAAGAGATGATAGAGGTACTACCAGTACAAACCATCTCCAGTTACACACTGTTCATTAGGGACTTTTAGATTTGCACATCAACGTGCAAATCTAAAAGTCCCTATTGTCTAAACAAGGACTTCCATCCAGACAAGATCAATGAAAAGTGTTAATGCACAGGTTATTCTTCAGTTGATAAACCCTTGAAACTCAAAAGGGTAACATTTTCAGATGAGCTCAATACTTTTCATATTTAACATAATAAGTCTATCGATGACTGTCCTAAAACTGGTTCCTTCTGGCATCATCTTTAGCAGAGATACATTACATGGGTTTATCAGAACAACAAAGTGGTCATCAGCTATGAAATTAGGTTAAAGGTATAAACCAGTTTTGGAAACGCCCCCCTCTCAAAAAATGATATGGAAGCTCTTATTACCAATCATGAGAAAGAATATGTTTTGACTAATACGTGATGATACAAATTTTGCCGGGGAAACCGCCTACTAATTGATATATTTGGTTAATTATTATATTTATCCGGACGGGATAGATATCGTGTAGTCCCATATACATCTTTCTGTGTACAGTGCTTGTAAATTTACCAAGACTGGGCCAAATTTCTTATCATTTTGATGATTCTAGAACCTTGCAGTACACACCAATACTAATATGCTAGATGATCAACCTTTTCTGATCGATTCCACAACGTTTCTTTCACAATGTAATCGCATGACCAGAACTGGTCTATACCTTTAATCAAGGTTAGGATTTTTTACAGCAAATTTATGTATACCGTTAGTTATAGCCACATACCTGGAGAGCATAGTTGCCTTTGAGTTGTGTCTTCTTGGCCTGTTTTATACCTGCTGGAAGGCATGGGGTAGCAATCTCAGTCAGCTCTGAATCTAACCACTGCTCATACACCATCTTACATAGCTGGCTGCCAGACAACACTGTACCCTGTATAAAAAAGAATTTAAAATTGAAATATACTCCTTGCTCTTCTAACACTATTTACATTAATTATTTTACTTGAGAATAGTCCATGTTTTGTTTTTTTATGTGATTTATTCAACAATGAAACTTTCATTACCACTTACTCTGCATAACTAAGTAGAATTATACCCTTTTCACATCTACCAAATATTGCTTAACCCCGGGAAATAGGTGGGGCTAAGGGGGCTCTTAGCCCCACCAATTCCTTCCTTAGCCCCACCAATTACCCGGGGTAATTTTAGCCGGCTTTCTGTTCACATTACGTTTTGCCAAAGTGGGCTAACCCCACAAATAGTACGGGACTATCTGGCCCTGCAAAATAGCAGGGTTAGCCGGGCAATTGCGGGGTTAGCCGGGCAATTGTGGTGCTAAGCTGCGTAGTGTGAATCCGAACCGGGCTAAGGAGAAGCGGGGCTAAGCAACAGCCAATCACAGACAGCGTGGTCGTGTGGTCGTGAATTTGCATTTATCGCGCGCTATGCATGCAGTTCACGTTACGCATGCGCGGTAGCAAAAGCATTAATATTCATGAGCTATCGAATAGTCCGGGGCTAAGGCGAACGTAGTGTGAATCGCGTGAAATTTCTTAACCCCGGCTAAGCACATAGTCCGGGGTTAAGAAAATAGATGTGAACAGCAAAAAAAATAGTATGGGGTTAAGGATAGTATGGGGTTAAGGATAGTCCGGGGTTAAGAAAAATAGATGTGAAAAGGGTATTAGAAGTGTAATGGACATGGAGTTAACATTTTGGTTGCTTTCCTTCAGATCCTTCATCTCTCTTCTATTATACAGAAAATAGGTATCAAATGACGGAAGGATTGATTTACGCAACATAAATAATGTCTCTGCAAAATTACCCATTTTGGGTCTTGTTCAGCTCCATGATAATGCTTTTAACAACGGTGGTATAGCATACAGTGTAGATCAATCTTGCATTGGAAAAAATTAATAATCTTAAAGCCAGATAGTTTAAGGCTTTAGTCTGAACTATTATCTATCCCATGCATGATAAATAAAAGTTTTAAGTTTGTACAGGGACATTAATATTGGTGTGGCAATTATATTGTAACAGATTGATAGGGATGGTTTGTAAGCTCACCTGGTGTTCTTCTTGAATCCATTCCATGCATGCTTCTACCCATTCTCCTAGCACAGATATATGACGAGATCTCAACCAAGCCTTCACGCCATCAGACTTAACACCCATCTTCATTCAATCATCCTACAAAGAAAACAAAAAAGTCAAGTGTCTACATGTAATCATGATTTCATACACTTCATAATTACTAACCATGGTTAACCTCCCATATGATGAGATCAGAATAATCAGCAAAATGAAAAAAATGGCAGATTAAATAGGCCTAAGATTAAAAAAAGGTTGCTATTCAAATGTTGGATGATCAAATATATAATTCATGTTTTTGAGTGCCATTATTAATGTACACTGCATCAGTGAATAATCAGATAAGGAGCTAACTCCAGGGAGCTCCAATGCCTTCCGGGAAACTATTCAAACAGCGGTTTTGGTCCTATTTTTTGGAAATCTAAAAAAGTAGTATAAAACTTTAGACTTTCCGGGACAATGTTATTCGACTTATCTGGGCCTCCGGTCAACAACTTGAAATTATAATTTGAAGATGTCTTTGATGGAAAAAAGGATGATTTCTTGTCCTACACCTAGATCTATAAGTGACCTATTCATCCATGATCCATTGATATCGTTGATTCAACATAGCGAAGAGAAAGTACGCATGCGCTGAAGTAGACCAAATTTTCCGTCTCTTTCGTTCGTTAGCCTCTTATTGGGGTAGGGTCGGCTCTCTCTTTAGAGTCGGAAGCCGACTATACGCATTCCCTTGCTAACACCATGGCCATTTATGGCCATATTTTTTATGCCCCGAAAATCCCCCAAATGTCATTTTACCTTGTGCATGTTATATTGTAAATTAGGCCTAGGCTATAATAAATCGGTTCCACTTACCAACTTGACTGAAATAATCAGTTTAATGGTAGGGAGGCCAATGCCCAAATCTAACTTTTTAATTACTAATTTGTTTATAATAAAACAAAGATTAAAAGAAAGTATTTTCTTTCACTAAGAAAATTCACCTATCTGCCGACTCCAGAAGTTCCATCAAATAGGAGATATCCAGCTCTTTTTATCCAGCTTCCTTCTACGCCTATCCGTACGTAAGAGCCTTGAAACAATTATATTTCATGTCGCAAAATTACGTTCATGATTAGACAGGCCCGAGGGGATTGGGCGTGTCATTGCCCGGACAACAAGTTTAAAACTTCGCGCGAAATTCCATTCATCATCAGCGGCTAGCCTTGAATCGGTCGTCGCACACACCGACACAGCAAGCCGCAGTCCTGAAATCGAGCCATGGAGGGACAAAACATGAACTGACAGAAAAAATAATTTTAGATAAGAATTAAAAGTAATAAGTAGGCCTACCTTAAAGGGGAAGTCCACCCTGAAATTAAGTTAGTTTTAATAGGAGTAGAAAAATGAGAGAAACAAGTCAGTGAAAGTTTGAGCAAATTCCGATTAAAAATAAGGAAGTTAGGATTTTTGAAGTTGTGATCAATCATCATCGTCATCAATAACGAAGAAAACATGATTTTATGGAATATTATGCACAAAGCAAATGAAGGAGAGCTCGTATAATAAGTCACAGAGTTGCCAATTTGTATTTGATTGATCACAACTTCAATAATTCATAACTTTCTTATTTTCATTCAGAATTTGCTCAAACTTTCACTCACCTGATTTTCTTATTATTCTGCCTCTATCGAAACAAACTTATTTTGGTGGTGGACTTTCCCTTTAAGGTGATATTCCAAATCCAATAGTATTTCCTCATGAGTAAAGATCAATCTGACACTGCATTATCAACGATCGAGAAGTTACAAGGTCCAATTAACATCCATCTTGCAGCGAACACAATACGGAGTACAATAGGACAGCAGCATGCATAGCGCATATCCATGCAACGTACGTGTACTAATATTTCTCTCACTCTCTCTCTCTCTCTCCCTTTCGCTATACGTAACATACACACTCACTAACCATGTAGCATACAACACACACCTTCAAATAATGGCTATCATTTCATTTCTCAATTAGAGTATAGACTGCTCACGTAGACTTTTTTTTTTACTGAAATATCTTTTTTAACACTTCTCATACATTACTGCACGACACTCGTATCTAGTGCTGTGAGAATAAGGTACTAGGGTCTATAAATAAGACTACGCTTTGCGCACGATCTGCCCGGAGCTCAGACATATGTCGCAATACCCTTTATTTTTGGCGCAAACAATGACGTCACTGTTCACAATTTTCCTTCTCATTTTGAGATGGATGTAGCTATAGGGCTCAATCCAACTCAAGATTGACAGAAACATCGTATTCTATCTACTTTCGAATGTTCAGTTTGTAAAAATCTGTATTTAAAAAAATATAATCTTTTTTAAAAAATATTTTCTAGTTGTTAGAAGTGGCAATTGTGAACATCTGAAATGTTGATCTCTATCAAAAGTTCTTTACTCAAAACGGATCCCATATTTTTAGGGTCTACCTTCTGCCAATGAGAAGGTTTTTAGTGAGCAAACCTCTACGCCCTCTAGGATTTTCTTAGTCGGTTGTGCGCGCCCGTCAATGTCTTCTGCTACAACAATTATTGGATTAAAATACGTCAAAATCTGCAAGATCGTCAACAAATGGTGAAAGACTGTTACAGATCCGAGATTATAGGTATGTTGTGAAATGTATAATTGTATTTTCTTTTCTTATTTTCATCAATTTTTATTTTTACATAATTTTTTTCCCTCTGCTAATTTTTTGAAGTGGGCGACGAGCGCACAAATCGTAGGTGTAGAAGCCTTACACCCGGGCATTGGCCTCCCTATTAATGGTCCCTTTTTAGGAAATTATCGGTAAAAATCGAAATCCATGTTAAAAATCGTGCCAGACATATTTTAACATGGATTTCGATGTACTTTCTCTTCGCTATGTTGAATCAACGATATATAGTTCTAGATCTTGACCTAGGTCTACATTACTACAGTCTACATCATACATGAATGAATCGGTTTAGGACAAGCCACAACACAAGGAATTACCATTTTTCGGTTTTTCCAATCGAAGACATCTTCAAATTATATTTTCAAATGGTTGAACGGATGCCCAGAGAAGTAACAAAAAACATTGTACGTCTAAATTTAATAACTACTTTTTAGATTTCATAAAAAAGGACCAAACCCGCGGTTTGAATTCATGTTTCCCAGGTTTAGACTCTGGAGCTCCGCGGCTCCAACGCAACGCCTAGGCGGCAGGCGGCAGGCGGCGAAGCTCCCTGAACAGGCTGGAGTTTAGGCCTAGATCTAGTAATAATAAGTCTTGTTGAGTTCATTTTCTTGCTCATTGCGACTTAAGAAAGTGCAGTACATATCTCTGATGCCCGATGTTAACTTTAAAATATTTGTTGGTAGATTTCTATATAAATTAGATTATACTTACCAGAAACAACAATTTCGCCACCCGTTTTTCTATCTTGCACTCACTGATTGAATTTCGCGCTACATATATTGTGTCGTCAAAACGTCTAAATCAAAAGGAAAAACGTTCTTTGTTTTTTTTATTTTAGGGGGGGGGGTAGCCCCCCCCCCTCCCCCGTTTGAGGCGTGGGAGGGGGAAGGAGCCCCTCCTCCAGTAATCCAGTGGCCATATCCCTATCAACTAGCCATTCCAAAATATAATGTAGTCAAGTTGAAAGTAATTGATTTTTTGATATTTTCGAAATTTAGGTGGTTTCTTGATTTAATTTTTCAGTGTCTGTAAAATAAATGCACATGCCCTCTTCTTTCGACTGACTAAAAGTGTAACTTAATACTTATCATTTGATTATGTCGTGACAGACCCACGCAGGCGCGTACGCAGGGGGGGGGAGGGGGTTTGGGGGGTTAAACCCCCCCCCCTTAGGTAATTTTTTTGTGTGTAAACCCCCCCCCCCCCCAAAACCCCCCCCTTTTGGATTTTTTTTTTTTTTTTTTTTTTTTTAATTATTTATTTAAAAAAAAAAAAAAAAAAAATTATTCCCATGGCCAACCTAAAAAAGGTGACCTTACCCCCCCCCCCAACGGGTCAAAATGTCAAATTTCCAAATTTCGAGACCAAAAAAAAAAAAAAAAGTGTCCTCTTACCCCCCCCCCCCCCCCCCCCCCCCCCCCCCCCCCCCCCCCCCCCGTAGTTATTGAGGCGGTCTATATTATTAAGTTATGGTTTCTATGCCGTTTCCATAGTATTTTTCCGTAACTTTGTCAGGACAGTGCTCTTAAATTCTAAATTGGGTTATTTTGATTGTCCATTATGCACTCTCTAAATTGTTTATTTTGGTCATGTTGCAGGCCGTATATATTGGTTCTTAAAAAATATACAAATATGAAACAAAGGTAGCATCTATGTGTTGTTCCCTTTTCAACGTCACCTGAAGGTAGTTCGAGTAGGTAAGATAAAACACATTTTTGTTACAGTGTTTCAGTATAAATCTAAAATAAGGCTAAAATCTAGCTCCTGACGATCAAAATTGATCTGAAAGTGCGGACTAAGCTTGCTCACTATTTTTTAAATACAAAACAAAGTTAAGTATTTATTATGACAAGGATGTTTTTCTGTTAGTTACTGTTTTTGTCTTTATTGTCTGCTGTTTTTTATTCTTCTTTTTCCTCCTTTTTTGTAAATGCGATGATGAAGCTTAAGAATATATTATATTATTGGAGCTAGGTTATAATATTTCGCTAATACATGTACATGTAAGTACAAATAGGGCGATAAATGGTCACCGGCCTCGTCCTATGGTAAATCTCTTTTGTAACACAAGAATAATTTCAGTGACGAACCAAAGTGGAAGAAACCAAGGACATTTAAATAAAATCTTATGAGATACACTATGAATCGAAAGCTTTTTCAAAATCATTCATGAACAAAATGTCTGATATAATCATGATGTTTGGTGTATTATATAGTATCCAGGGGCGTCGCTAGAGGGGGTGTGGGGATGCGACACCCCTCCACCTGTCGGGATATTGTCGGTAAAATTGCGCTGCCGTCGGTAAAAATGAGAAAAGGAGGAGGGAAAAAATGAAAGGGAAGAAAAGAAAGAAGAAAAAAGGGGAAAGAAAGGAAAGAGAAGGGAAGAAAGAAAGAGAAAAAAGAAAAGAAAAGAAAAGAAAAGAAAAGAAAAGAAAGAAAAGAAAAGAAAAGAAAGAAAAGAAAAGAAAAGAAAAGAAAAGAGAGAAAGGAAAAGAAAGGAAAGGAAAGGAAAGGAAAGGAAAAGAAAGAAAGGACAAAAAAGGAGAAAGGAAAACAAAACAAAAGAGAATATGAAACAAAAGGAGCGGGGGGGGGGGGTGAAAGACAGGGAGAGAGAGAGAGAGAGAGAGAGAGGGGGGGGGGGGTTGTTTGGTGGTGTCGTCTCGTCGATGGAGCAAGAAAGATACGCATATAGGCGGTGTGTCGGGTCAGCGGTGTCGGTATTCTTGCTCGATCCTCCCTCGTGTACTATATCAATGCTGAAGTCGGTGAGATGTATATTGTCGGTCGGCCGACATATTTTTTTTTCCTACGAACTGTGACTTTTTATCCGCTGTGACGACTTCGAGAGTCCCTACAACTACAATACTTTTATTTTAACAATTTCGGGGAAACTAAATTCAAACAAGGTTTAAGAGTCAACAACGGTACGACGAATCGTCTTCCTTTTTCTATATTGTGATGAAACCAGGGACGTAAATCCGTACCGAGGGAGTGGGGGGGGGGGGGGGGATGATCGGTGAAAGCCATCACATATACTAGCACGAGCACACGCCCACACTAATTTACGCACACAAACGCACACATACACGCACACACACAAACGAATAAACAACAAACAAGTCAGAGAAAGAAGACGATTCGTTGTACCGTTCTCGAAAATAATCCTCGTCTGAATTCAGTCCCCCCCCCCCCCCTCCCGCGCGGAGCGCGGAAGCTTTTACGTTTCATGAAATCATTAGAGAAAGAAGACGATTCGTTGTACCGTTCTCGACTCTTAATCCTCGTCTGAATTCAGTCCCCCCTCCCTCCCGCGCGGAGCGCGGAAGCTTTTACGTTCCATTAAATCATTAGAGAAAGAAGAAGATTCGTTGTACCGTTCTCGACTTTTAATCCTCATTTGAATTCAGTTTTTTCCCTCCCCCTTCCCTCCGCGCGAAGCGCGGAAGCTTTTACGTTTCATGAAATCATTAGAGAAAGAAGACGATTCGTTGTTCCGTTCTCGACTCTTAATCCTCATTTGAATTCAGTTTTTTTCCCTCCCCTTCCCTCCGCGCGAAGCGCGGAAGCTTTTACGTTTTATTTAAATCATTAGAGAAAGAAGACGATTCGTTGTTCCGTTCTCGACTCTTAATCCTCATCTGAATTCAGTTCCCCCTCCCCTCCCGCGTGAAGCGCGGAAGCTTTTACGTTCCATTAATCATTAGAGAAAGAAGACGAATTGTTGTACCGTTCTCGACTTTTAATCCTCATTTGAATTCAGTTTTTTCCCTCCCCCTTCCCTCCGCGCGAAGCGCGGAAGCTTTTACGTTTTATTTAAATCATTAGAGAAAGAAGACGATTCGTTGTACCGTTCTCGAAAATAATCCTCGTCTGAATTCAGTTCCCCCCCTCCCCCCTCCCGCGCGGAGCGCGGAAGCTTTTACGTTTCATGAAATCATTAGAGAAAGAAGACGATTCGTTGTGCCGTTCTCGACTTTTAATTCTCATCTGAATTCAGTTTTTCCCTCCCCCCTTCCCTCCCGCGCGAAGCGCGGAAGCTTTTACGTTTCATGAAATCATTAGAGAAAGAAGACGATTCGTTGTACCGTTCTCGACTTTTAATCCTCATCTGAATTCAGTTTTTTTCCTTCCCCCCCCCCCCCTTCCTCCCGCGCGAAGCGCGGAAGCTATTACGTTTCATTAAATCATTAGAGAAAGAAGACGATTCGTTGTACCATTCTCGACTCTTAATTTCTTTAAAAAGGGGGTTGGGTTTTTTTCTCTCTCTCTTTGGACTCCTGAGAAATGTAAAAAGGAGGTAATAAAATATCTTGAATATCATAGAAAAATTAATAAAATCCCGGGATCAAATTCCTGAAATTCCTGCTAGCTTTGAAAGCTCATTCAGGATTATTTCATTATGAAAAGTAAAAGCATTGGCCCCCAGTCCCCTTGATCGACTAGAGCTCACCTGAAATTGGGGGGGGGGGGGGGGGGTGGTACATTTAGCAGTGTTCTGGATTTTTTTTTTTTTTTTTTTTTTTTTTGGGGGGGGGGGGGGGTCTCCAAGGTAGGAAAAGCCAGCGAAAAGCCGGCAAAAGTGGGATTCAGAAATGTTGGCAGTCCTGAGATAGGGTGGGGGGATGCTTCCAAAGGTAGGAAACGAGCATACGCGTACCCTAAATAACACTAAGTGGGGGAGCCGGGCATCTACTGTACATGAAGGCACTTTTTAAGCGCTGGCGCGCTTTACGTCTGGGCTATAATAATACCTTGCAAATTATTCTGAGGTTTATGAAGTGCTTGTTCGCGCACGTCGCGCAACTACTCTTAATGATCGTGACATACTGTATACGTGTAGACTTTACAGTTTTACATACATACAAAAATAACACATTTCTCATGCATTATGCTGAAGTTGAAACAATCACATTTTTTTCTTCTTCTTCTTCTTCCTTTTTTTTCTCTTTTTTTTGTTGTAATTTCAGGGGGGGGGGATGATTGTACAGGCCACCCCCCCTACTTCAAGCCAGGGGGGATGCAGCCCCCCAATCCCCCCGGGATTTACGCCCCTGGATGAAACGCCATAAAATCAGCGCTTCGCGCGGAAGGGGAAAACTTAATTTAGACGAGTCGAGAACGGTACAACGTATCGTCTTCTTTCTCTAATAATTTAAGGAAACGTCAAAGCTTCCGCGCTTCGCGCTAAAGAGAGAAACTGAATTCAGACAAATAGGGTTTAATAAGAGTCGAAAACGGTACGACGAATCGTCTTCCTTTCTCTATATTGTGATGAAACGCCAAAAATTCCGCACTTCGCTCGGAAGGGGAAAAAATCATTTAACCGAGTCGAGAACGGTGCAACGAATCATCTGATTTTTCTCATAATTTAATGAAACGTCAAAGGGGGAGAAACTGAATTCAGACAAGGATTAACAGTCGAGAATGGTACAGCAAATAGTCTTCTTTAATGAAACGTCAAAGCTTACGCGCTTCTCGCGGGAGGGGGGGGGGGGGGGAGCCTCATTCAGACAAGGATTAAAAGTCGAGCACGGTACAGCAAATCGTTTTCTTTTTATAATAATTTAATGAAACGTCTAAGCTTTCGCGCTTGGCGCGGGAGGGGGGGGGGTCTATCACTCACACCCCCACACCCCCCTAATGAGCGCGCTTGGCGCGCTCTTTAAGTTAGTCCGGCAGCCATCTCGATATACCTTGTTTTAGGGTCTATAGTTGTTGTTTTTTTGGATTATAGTTCCTTAGACCATCAATTTGAAGAATCCGATTGCTGACACTCTGTCAGCCTTGAGCAATTTGAGATATGTGACGTCACACAAAATGGCCGCCAAAATACCCTTTTTTACCAAAATTAATGATAACAAAATTGTTTACAGTATTTTTCTACATTAAATGTCAGTCAAATATCTTAATTTTTTCTAGGATCATCACTAAGTAAAAATTGACGATGTTGTATGATAACAAATGGCATGTAAATTTGCATAATTCAGATTGGCGCCCTCTATAGACACGTTAACTTGCAAATTTTAAATGATGACCAAATGCCAATTTCTAACATGAAATTAACATTTTTTATAAGTCAGACGCACTGAATACAATTAGAAAAAATTGTGCACCACATTTTGGTGTGATTTTTTTTGTTATTTTGTACTTTAAAGGTAAAGATCAGTTTTGGAAACGCCCCCCCTCTCAAAAAATGAAATGGAAGCTCTTATCACCAATCATGTGAAAGAATATGTTTTGACTAATACGTGATAATACACATTTTGCCGAGAAACCGCCTACTAATTGATATATTTGGTAAATTATTATATCTATTTAGACCTGGTAGATATCGCGCACGTGTCGCGTAGTCCCATATACATCCTTCTGTGTACATTGCTTGTAACTTTACAAAGACTGGGCCAAATTTCTAATCGTTTTGATGATTCCAGAACCTTGCAGTACACACCAATACTTATAAGCTAGATGATCAACCTTTTTCTGATCGATTCCACAACGTTTCTTTCACAATGCAATCGCATGACCATTACTGGTCTTTATCTTTAATACTTGAAGAAAACAAGCTAGAATTTCATGCTCTCTGTCCCATAGATACGAGGTGCCATATGGTTATAAATGCCCGTTTTCAGTGACAGCATTCCGAAATTTTATTTGTATTTTGAGGTAATACATTCTTTTATATGAACCTATCATAAAAAGGTTCCTCTCTTACAACGGAATTTATATCCACCCAAAATGACCAAACATGGTTACCTTCCAATGGCTATCATTTGCTGCTTTAGTTTGATCGTTATAACACTCGACAGGGGCGCGAAAACCACAGAAAATTGTGCATGCTAGTTTTGCTTTGTTGCATTGGCACCGTGATGATTTACATAGGCTTCCACTCGCACAAGTGCACCGTATTAACCTTAATATGTTGTCAGGTGCGAGTTGTACATTTGTAAGTACGTGACAGGGATCAGGGATTTGGTTTCCTCTTCTTTTGCATAGCCATTCTTTGTAGGATCCAATGATGTGGGTGGTGACTGCAATTAAGGCGTGCTTCCACACACATGTTTGCAGATGAGCTCTCTTGCCAACTGAGTCCAAAGGGAGTCAAATCTTCTGCTTCATCACTTTCAGCAATGCATGTACCCTTTTCAATCCCAAAGTATGCCCCAATAGTGTCGCATCCCCTCAACGCATGTCCTGCCAACATCGATGGAATGATATCTCCTAACTTGTGTACAGTGGCAGGAATGTCAATAACAATTCGCTCTTTGATGAATCCATGATCATTTGCGTTCTAAGTTATTCATGTAGATAATGATGGACCCTAACCCTAACAGCCAGGACCCTAACATACCTTTTTTCATTAGCAGCAATTTGAATCGCTTGCTGTACTATGATGTTGTCTGCTTCTTCATGTGTTATGGAAAGATCTTCCCTTGGCATGACATCGCTGCCTGGTATAACTTCAACAGATACATCATCTTGACCGGTAATGACCAGCTTGTGCTCTTGCCTATTTCTGAACACCTCATCATTCTGCAGAATCACGCATACCGGTATATGATGTCGATCAACTGAAGTTTATTGTCAGTAGTTTCTGGGAGGGAAGCAGTGAGGTGGGAAAAAGCGCCGTTTGAATGTTTTCCATTTCCGCTACTTGAGGCGAATCCTAGGCATCAAATGGCAGGACCACATTCCAAACAAGGATGTCCTCAAAAAGGAGGGATGATGACCATCTACGCTCTTCTATCACAACGACGGCTGAGATGGCTCGGTCATGTCAGTCGAATGGAAGAAGGCCGCATTTCAAAAGACATCTTGTACGGAAAGTTAGCGACCAGAACCAGGACTGTTAGAAGACCTGGCCTTCGCTTCATGGATGTGTGCAAGAGGGATATGGAGGCCAGTGAAATCAACCCTACAAAATGGGAAGCCTATGCTTCAGACTGCCCCAAATGGAGATGCGCTGTGAAGACATGGTATACAGAGGAGTGATCAGAAGAGAGTAGAACAGTGGGAGGAGAAAATACAACAAAGACGGCAGCTAGCCACGGCTTCAACAGCACAGCCACACATGAAATTTGTCTGCAGCAACTGCAACAGGACCTGCCACTCTAGGATTTGACTGTTTAGTCATAGCAGGAGCTGCACAGCAAGAAACTCTTGCTTGAAGCTGTTAAACAGATGTACAATTGACGGTGTTCAAAGGGAGGGAGTTCCAGAGTCTTATTGTTTCCGGGAAGAAGCTCCTCTTTTAGACAAGCATTCAGGCAAAATGAACAATTATCTTCTTGGAATGCCCTCTGTGCACGGATGTTGATGGAGTGAGGAAAGTATGTGGAAAGTCTTTCAGCGGGTTGTTGATACGAAAGAACATCACCATCTGAGCCTGTACCCTGCGTTCTTGTAATGTTGGCCACTTGAGCTGGTTCAGGATGGCTTCTACTTTGCTTGTCCTGCAGTGGTCATTGCAGTAGGAGCGGACATAACGCCGTTGACCCATTTCAAGCTTCTTGATGATTGCTAATTGTTTGAGTGTTAGGGTCCCATATAATTATGATGATGGCATACTCCATGATTGGTTGAAGGCGAGTATCGTAGCACAATTATTTAACTTTTCTAGGACATGGTTGGATATTTCTTTGAAGGAAGGCACGGGTGGAGTTGGAGTATTTGCTGATAATGTTGATATGTGGGTTCCAGCTGAGGTTTTTCTGCGACTCAACACCTCGATACTTTGCTATATTTTTGTCATCTAGGGTCTGTCCGTGAATTTGATGATGGATTTGCGTTTATTGATGACATGTAGAACCTGACATTTATGTGGGATGAATTCCATCAGCCAATCACGCTCCCAGCGTTGCAGTGAGTCAAGATCCTCTTGGAAACGTTAGGTGTCTTCCTATGTCTTGGTGTTGCTGTATAGCATGCCGTCGTCAGCAAAGAGCCTGACTGTTGGTTTTGGGGAGAGGTACGGTGGCAGATCATTGAGGAAGAGTAGAAACAGCATCTGGCCGATAACGCTGCCTTGCGGGATGCCAGATGTTACTTGGCTGGTGTTGGAGATGGGTCCTTCCAGTAACACCTGCTGGGTCCTGTAACTCAGGAAGCCAAAAAAACCAAGCATGTGTGGGTTCCCGGATTCCATAGTATTGGGGCTTGTGTAACAGCTATAGCCTTCCATGGGGAACCTTGTCAAATGCTTTGGAGAAACCAAGGAGTGTCATGTCCAATTGGTCTCTGGCATCGATGCCTTTGGCAAGGTCCAGGACAGCCAGGACAAGCTGTGAGACGCAGGATCGCTTCTTTCGAAAGCCATGTTGTGCATCAGACAAGATCTTGTGGCTTTCAAGGTGGTTCTTGTTGCCGCTAAGAACGATGTGATCCAGTACTTCCCAGGTTACTGACGTCCGAGAGAGAGCTTTGTAGTTCTCTGGCTTGCTACGGTCAGCTTTCTTGAAGATGGGATCAATATATATAGCCATCTTCCATTTATCAGGTATGCACGCTCTGGTTAAGGGAGGCTTGGAAGAATAGAGGGAACACAGGTGTCAGTTTGGTGGTCAGAAGTCTGGCTGGGATTTGGTCAGGACCAGTGGCTTTATGAACATCAAGCTCAGACAGGATCTTCAGAACCCCTGGTGGCGAGATATTAATTTGATCCATGGTTGGGTAGGGGCTTCGTCCTTTGTCTCTCAGACTAGTCATATCTTCATTGCAGTTGAAGATGGGTGAAAACTGATTACTTAGAATGTTCGCCTTTGAGAGGCTATCTGAGTAAGTCATTCCATTAGATTATTCCAATGGAGCCAACCCTGAAGCATCGCATCGCTTGCCGTTTATGAAACTCCACAAACACTTTGGTTTACAGTTGGTGTCTGGGCTGACAATTTTTGTCAGGTACCCGTTGTAGACTTTCTTGGAAATTGTGTCATAGAATCCACCAGGTAACTTCTGTTAAAACTCATGCATCTGTCTGGTACCGATGCCAAATGCTTTATCATCATTCACTAACGCTGGATCAATGCTGATCTAAATAAAGCCTATGAATGGAACAATAATGTACCGTAAAATCACTTCTCACTGATTCTCTTGTAGATCTTGGTTTCTTTACATGTATCTTAATTTAGACCAAAAAATATGTAAGGTTAAAGCTGCACAATCGTAATTATTTCATGCATACGAAGCATATAATATGTGTTTAACGTGACGTAGATCTAAGACATTGAGGGCGCTATTTCAAAATATGCAAATTAGCTTGTCATCTATGGCCGTGCATCATCACGAAACAATTTTTAGTGATGGTCCTAAAGAGATACAGACATTTGGCAGCCCAAAATTGTAGAAAAATCCTTGTTTTATATTTATTAAACATTTTTAGAGAAAAATCATGTACTTTGGCGGCCATTTTGTATGACGTCACATATCTTAAATTGCTCAAGGCTGACTGAGTGTCAGCAATCGGATTCTTCAAATAGAAGGTTTAGGCAATCATAATCCATTGAGAAAAAAGAAATTGGCACACCTATTTTTTATGCAAAATTAATATATTTATAGAGGGCGCTATTTCAAAATATGCAAATTAGCTTGTCATCTATGGCCGTGCAACATCACGAAACAATTTTTAGTGATGGTCGTAGAGAGATACAGACATTTGGCTGCCCAAAATTGTAGAAAAGGCCCTATTATATATTTATTATACATTTTTAGTGAAAAATCATGTACTTTGGCGGCCATTTTGTATGACGTCACATATCTTAAATTGCTCAAGGCTGACAGAGTGTCAGCAATCGGATTCTTCAAACAGAAGGTTTAGGCAATCATAATCCATTGAAAAAAAAACTATAGACCCTAAAACAAGGTTAGGCCAATAGTCTGGATTTGGCTGCCGGACTAAGTGATTTGCTTGCTCACTAGCTCACTACCGCCCCTCCCTAAAATAAAATCCTAGCTCAGCGCCTGCATTAAAATATATAGCTATGATGCTGACTAAGTTGACGAAATAATTCGTATATTTATGTCGTCGATCGAGGAAAATGACCATTTGCGCATAGCAAGTACTATGGATAGTCGATAGGAAAAACAATTTAGCCTTCGGCCCCAGGTTTAAAGGGCTAAATTTGTAGATATTGGACGTTTCATTTTGTCGGTAATTGGTGGCTAGTTTTGTCGGTAATCGTTGGCCTCTACACCCCCCCCCCCCCCCACTGGAAAAGGTCTAGCGACGCCCCTGATAGTATCCTACTACTAACATGACAACTTCTAGCACAGTCGTTCACTTAAACTCCCAAAATAAAATTCACTGAAGGAGTTGCTAGAATGTGAGGTTTTTATGCTATGTGGGAAAGTGCGTATTAAAAATAAAAAAAATATTTATATATTATTATTATTATTATTATTATTATTATTATTATTATTATTATTATTATTATTATTATTATTATTGTTATTATTATTATTATTATTATTTTATTTATTTATTTATTTTTGGCGGGGGGGGGGGGGAGGGGGCAGCTTTAGCTATCCGCCCCCCCTCCCCCCCCCCCCATCCGCGGCGCCTCCTTTTCTACGGATGTACTGTGTTCAGTACCCTAAAAAAAAAAAATCATTTTTTTAGACGCCTCTGTCTAGGCCTATTAGAATCATATTGGTGCATGATGTCATTACCTTTTCTGGGTATTTTGGTCATGAACGCGATAAAAACAAATTGACGGGGTTAGCTCTTTCCAAGTTTTTTATATTATTTTTAAGTGATTGAGCTATGCAATAAATGAATATATTTTGTCATTTAAAATAAATTGTTAAGTATAGAGTACAGTTATTATGGATTATCTAATTTGTTTTTAGAGTCTGTTTGTGAACTAAGTTGTAACTGGTTCACTTTTGTCGAAAATAGCAGGACATGGGCAACTGCTTCTATTGGCCGTTGTGCGTGAACGGCTGAAATAAGCCTAATATAGGAAGTAAATGAAAAGACTAGATGTGAGTAACACAAACACATACCATACAGTCATTTTCAGGTGATCTCGCGATCTCGTACTACTCCGTGCTCGGCTGATATATTGCATATTAGAACTCTAAATAAGGCTACATTTATACGTTTCTTTATCACTTCAAGCAGATTAGAGGTTTGCTGTATTCTTTACTTTGATCAGATTGCAGAGAATCTTTAGAAAGATGTCGAGCAGTTTAGAAAGTATCCTTTTTTATTTGTTTACTGTCTGTAACTTGTAAAGTAACTTGTAATGAAATTGGTGGGGAATTGATGTGTCGTCTACACACATACAGTACATGATGTAGCTGCATTACTAATCCTGGCTGTGTATTAAAAGCTGTTATTGATTCTCAACATTTCAAACACCACTGTACAAAACTCAACTGAGCTGATTTCACTCAAAATCGGTACTTGAGTGACAATTGATCATTGATAACACCTAGATCTAGACTAGACCCTAGATCTAGTAAATAGCAGTAAAATACAATTTGTTCAACTCACCGATGTTAGAAAGAATAATTCAAAAATTAAAATCGTGAGTCTACTGTCAAACTTGCTTACAGCCACATCGGCATCATTGTGTGCATTTGTGTGTTATTTGTGTTTTGACCAGGTGGACCACTACACTGGGGTTTCCCCCTACTCTTAATCTTAAACGAATAGTGCAGTGGGTTCTTAACGTGCAAAGGTAGTGACTCTTTCTCTCCACAGGGCCTCCGTTTAACGTCCTATCCGAGGGATGGAGTATTTTCCACTTAACATAGCCTGCGTCTATGAGCTATGTGTTAACACACAACGCAGGCTTCAGTCATCTGCCTGAGTAGGATTCGAACCCGGCATCTTTGGTTCGACAGGCAGACGCTTTACCGACTGAGCCAACTCGCCTTCATGTGTGCAAATGCTGCCTATTAGCACGTAGTGCAGCGCTAGAGGACAATACGCATTAGCATTGACCCTATATAATTATTAATATCTTATTGCTGTATAGTGTGTACTCACCTTTTGCAGGTCCTAAATTACCTGCGAGTGCCAGGGTCTAATGACTGGTGTACTCATCTATCTATAAAGCACTTAAAGACGCTGTAGATACTTTAGAAGCTACTAACATGTAGTACATAAATTCAAAATACCGGTATCTATTTGTGCACATGTACCATGGTATTGGAATGATGTGCACATCTTATTGTGGGAAAGCAGTTCTTTACTGTTGTAGGGTTCACGTAAAGGGATTAGTAGTGCAATAATGGAAAAACAAATAATTTTTCTTAACCAGAATTTATTTTCAGAACACCTTTTCAATCTGAAGTTTGCTGCCAAGCAGATGAACAGAGAATCTAAGAAATGTGAGAAAGAAGAAAAAGCAGAGAAGACCAAATTAAAAAAGGTAAATGTCAATATTCACGTAATCTCTCTGACCTACATGTACATGTACCTGTACATTTCTCCTCCTCAGGCATACAGATTAAGATACCGATAGTAGTAATGTTGTTTTTTTTTAAATATTTTTTGTGTGCAAATTGCAGAATTCTGTACATAGTAAAAAGAATTATATAGTAAATTATAATGTTTACATATACAAACTGAACAGTAATGACAGTACATCAAGTCAGAGGCATAATAATAATAACATTGACAACATTGATGTGTAGGTTCAGATAAACTAGAGTGAATTGCACAATCTATGGAAAATATAAGTAATGAAATAAACCATGATAGAGGATTGAGATTGTACATGTAAAAAAATCATTTGTACTAGATAATCAAAATATGCAGGCGTGTAGCATAAAACATATGAACTGAGTTCACTTTAGTATGTTTATTTTATCACTGGACTTCTAAATTTAATTGCTACTGTTAAACAGCATTTACATGTATGTTTGAAGGAGAACAGAAAGTGTAAAGTGTATTGATGGACCTGTGATGAATTGAAAGAATGAAAATAAAACTCAGTTAAGTGTTAGCCGTCACAGTGGTGACTTACCGGTTTGTCAGAATTTATTTTGAAACCCAAGTTGCAAAATACTTTGACAAGATTAATTCAAGATGCTATGCTGAAAGAGCCTTCCAAGAATAATTTCAATTGATGTCTCATGTCTGTAGGCCAAGATCCACTGCATACAAAGAACTTGGTCAGGAATATGATCAAATTATCCAGTCAACATTTAAATCTTTTAGGCCAGACAGTGAGGCAAATACTATTGAGAAATGGCCCGGTGCTATCGGTTTTTACTTTATTACCAGTATAGGCCATTCAGGTAATATTCAATTCCATGTAAAAAGCTGGTGAATAAGATTAGTGCTGTAGTCAAACGTTTCACCGTCCGTTATCCGACCGTCCATGGCGGATTCCGTTTTCAATTGGACGGTTTCGTTTTCCATTTTTTTAAAGTTTTTTTTTTCTGTTTTTTTTTTAAATTTTTTTTTTTTTTAAATAATTTGTTTAAAGTTTGATTTATGCCCCTCCACCTGGCACTATGCCTGGCAATGTCTCCCAGCTCAGTAATCGTTGTGATGACTCACCACTCGAAAACTAGAACAACACTCCAATTTGTCTGTCATCTTGGTTTGAAAGTAATCTTTGTAATAGATCTCAATAGGTAGTTTATAATAATAATTCATCCAATTTTTACACATGGCGTACCACAGGGTCCTATCCTAGGTCCTCTACTGTTTTTAGTTTACATTAATGATCTTACACATTCTTCTAAACACGACATTGTTACTATTATTTGTGACTAGTTCACAAGCACAAATCGGCGCCTTCAACTGCACCTCGCAGGCTCGCAGTTAAATGAAAGTCCTTCCCGCTTTTTCACACAGACCTGGCTTGCTGCCGACAGAGTCGGCCCCCCCCAAAAAGAAGATTTTTTATTTTTTACATTTTTTTTAATTGTGCAATTGATGTTCAATCTTTTATAGGCTATACAGAAGGGAAATGTTGAAGGGGCCAGGATCCACGCTGAGAACGCAATTAGGAACAAGAGCCAGGCCTTAAATTTCCTACGAATGAGTGCCAGAGTGGACGGAGTGGCTTCAAGAGTTCAGTCAGCCGTGGCCATGAAGAAGGTTACTTCATCAATGTCTGGGGTAGTCAAAGCTATGGACTCTGCAATGAAATCAATGAACCTAGAAAAGGTAACAACAACAACAATCTTCTAAACCTTTCAGTGAAATAAGTAAACCTTTCTTGATTGGAAGTGCTAATGCTTAATAATATTTTTTTTTTAGCACTTTCTACTATACATGTGAATAAGACGTGTGTAGAATTAGGAAAAATGATTATGCAGTTTCTTAGTAGTTGCATTTCTGTGAGTTTGAAACTCAAGATAGACATTCTATGTTACAATTTTGATGAGATTAAAGGGGGTTCATAAAGTAAATGAGGCCTTGAGGTTTTTCATGAAAGAAACTAAAATACTGAAGTACTGTTGATGAAGGAGAAATTCACGTTGGGCCATAAATACATGTAATATTACATTTCTTTTTCTTTTTTGTTTGTGGGGGGGGGGGGGTGAATTTGTAACCCCCATATTGTAGGAATCTCTGTTATCTGCCACTCTAGTGCACTCTTGCAGTGTAATTCCACTCCATATCTGTTTGATTCGGCCTATAATATTGTTTCTTTTTCATTTGTGTATGTTTTTGTTGTTGTTCTGTTGTGTAGATGTTTTAATGTGATTCCATCTTTTGCACTAGTACACCTTCAGAATTTGATGTCAAGAGTATTTGGCACCTTACAGATCTTATGTATTATTAGTAGTAGAAGTAGTAAACCAATCTTCTCTCCCACCTTGGTTAACTGTTGTTCAGATACGTCACACTGCAATTGTAAATCCCATGATATCACCAACAACTTTTCGCACCACTTCATTTTGCTTAGCTACACCACCACCACCATAATCACCACCACTACCACCACCACCATCATCACCAAGAGCATCATCTGTATCTTCCTGCTCTTTAAATTATTTGTTGTTTGTCTTCTTCTTAGATAAGTGCACTGATGGAGAAGTTTGAGAAGCAGTTTGAAGACATGGATGTCCAGACACAGTGCATGGAAGACACCATGTCTGCTTCGACCACTCTCACCACACCTCAATCTCAAGTAGATAGCCTTATGTCACAGGTGGCAGACGAAGCAGGGTAAGTAGAGTATCGTATGACCTATCCGAGATCTAACGGAGGCTTTTTTTTTTTGGAAGAGCCCCTGTAGAAAAAAAAAAAAAATTGAGGCTTAACTGTAACCCTGATTACCTAATCTAGAATGAAACAAATGACAGGAAGGAAGATATAATACTACCTATTAAATGTTTGAAAGATTATAGACCAACCGCTGTTCATATTTATACAAACAAGCAATTTTCAAGTTAAGAACTTCCACAAATTGTTGATAGTAAGTGTTGGGTCTGTGGTGATTCAAAAATTAAATTATATCGCAGCATGAAATTTGTGCATATTTTATCTGAATAATTTGTTAATATTTCATGCACGTGAAAGTTAATGTTTTTTACATTACTGAGTGAGAAATAAAGCTGTAATTAATAAACTTATTAGCACATTATTAGAAATTGAGCAATAACTAATATTTCTATGTAATCTTTGTTTGTTTGCCGAATTGATCATGACTCCTAACAATCTTTATCTCTCTCTTTCTTGATTCTCTCTCTTTCTCTCCTCTCATACTCTTTCTCTCCTCTTATCCTCTCTCTCTCTCTCTTTTTCTCTTTCCCTCTTTCTCTCTCTTTCTCTCCTCTCATCCTCTTTCTCTCCTCTCATCTTTCTTTTTTCTGTTTCTCTGTCTGTCTCTGTCTGACTGTCTGTCTGTCTGTCTCTCTCTCTCTCTCTCTGTCTCCCTCCCTCCCTCCATCCCTCCCCCTCTCTCCCTCTCCTTATGTCTTTCCTTGTATGTTTCAGATTGGAGTTGAATATGGAGCTACCTTCGAGTCAGACAGGCAGCCTTGGTCAGTCCACAGCATCAGCTGAGCAGGATGAGTTATCAGCAAGGTTAGCGGAGCTCAGGAAAATGTGATGAATCGTCAGCTCACAGAGTACAGGAATTTGTATTCCTTTTATATGAACATGTCATGATGAATTGAGAATTTTTGTTTCACCACTCTAATAAAGAGAGAAGTATTGTGATTTGTTTTAGCCAGAGTAAGTTAGGATTATATTACCGGAGCAGGGCACCATTGCATAAAACCTACTATTGATGGTAACTTTGCCATTAATGGTAACTTCCATGGAAACCTTGATTTGATAGGCTGTTGAATGATGTTGTCATGGTAGTTACTATTGATTGCAAATTTAATATCAGTGGTATTAGTTTGATGCAACGGGCCCAGCCTTTGATGATCTTCTCCAGAGCTTCTTTGAAAGTTTGTCTCTTTCATTGAAAATTAAATATTGTATCCCCAAGAAAAATTATTGTCTCTAAAGTCTAAAGTGTACTTGAGCCCACTGCACACTATGATCTGACTGTGATCCAATTTGAGAAGGATCTATATAAATAAAATCATTGTGAATGATGCTCTGAATCAACACCAAAAATAAAAATGCTGGTTAAATTCAAACCATCAAACCAACTACTAAGAGTAAAGGCCAAGATCAGCTTCAAGTCATAGACAATCAAATCACTGGTCTGGTGTTACTAAGATTCAGAGCTGATTTGGGATCTCCTCCTAACATCGGGCTCACAAAACCCAGTAATTTCGATTTAATTATCTGTTCCCAGAACTTCAATGACTAAGATTATTTATTGCCTGTATGAAGCCAGAATGTCATTAGGATCATTCACTTTCAATTTACGCAGAGTTAATGCCCTTCGTCTCCAAGCAGGTTAAATGTCAATTGTTTCAGTGAATCTTCCAAAAAGTCAGATGGCAGTCAGATCGTATTGTGTTCAGTGGGCATTACAAACTTGTTCCAGACTATTTTCTTTGATAGTCCATGAGACATGCCATCATTGAAAGGGACATTGTTGTACATTGTATGTATTGTGAGTGTATATATATATAGAAGTGGTATAACTTAAAGGTAATACAAAGCTTTGGTATGGGATCATGAATTTGGTTCAAATGAACATATTGGAGGCATTTGCGATTTTACGATATTCAATGATGGTTGTCGCGGTTGGAATCGAGTCTGAATTGATGAAATTGTCAATATTAAACTCTTTCAGTTGTATAGCTCCCTTTCAACACTGATATTACTTTAGCTTTAAAACAATGTTTTCTGACTATAATCGACCGATTTGCTATTCCCGTTTGGAAATTATGTTTCAGAACTGCATATTCTGAAATATTCATGGTCTCAGCTACCATGGAATTGCCTTAGGCGCTATTTGAAATATTTGAAATTTACCGGGAGCACCGGTAAATGTGTATTATTCAAATTTCTCGAAAGCAGAAGCGTTTTAGGGGCTAAATTTTCTAGTGCTTGTAACACATCGACAGGAGCATCCAAATATATCAACATTTTAAAGAATTACTATCCATTCAATTTCAAAATTTCCCAAAACTTTGCATTACCTTTAAGCCACAGCAGTTCATGTGGCTGGAGCCAGATTACAGATATCACACATTTATTTTTTTCATTTCAAGTTCTTGTATAGAAGTACATATATAAGGTTTATTTAGGATTCTTTTTAACATTTTCATTACAAAACAGCTGTAGTTCACTGATGTAAGATTTGTTTGTAATTTATTTAGCTTTTGTGGAAAACATGTTTCATAAAGTTATTACTATGTGGTTCTCATTAATAGAGACTTATGGGGCGTTGCAAAAAAGTTGCGATTGTTTGCAAGTTTCAAAATTTGCAATCGATTACAACTCAACTTTCTTGCAATGCCCCACTAGTCTCCTTAATTTCCTAGGATTTTGTTCGGATTAAAGTTTTAACAATTAGATTAAGTTAACTAGATCTAGCTTTTATTCTCCCCTTTTCTCTCTCTCTTACTAATGGGGCGTTGAATTAAAGTTGTGTTGCGATCAATCGCGAGACTTACGCTTGATTTGGGGGATTTGCAATTGATTGCAACTTTCTTGCAACGCCCCATAAGAGACTTATGTTGGTGGCTATTTTCCCATCCAAGTCCTTTCCATGAAAATTATTTTTCACAAAGAGGAACAGAGAGGAACAACACGATATGCGGTTTGTTTATTACTAGGGCAGTTCGATTGTTTCTGTTTCTTGTCTGTTCTGATATTTTTCTTCAATTTAAATTTGTATGTAGATTTTCAATAAATAGTTGGTTGTAAATTGTATTTTGGAACGTGAAGGCTGAAAGCTTTTAAATATCCTTTGAAGCTTGCTCTGACACTTGCTCAAATTACAAACGAAATTGATAGTTTAATTTTAAAGTTAAAAATTTAAAAACAGTTACAGTATTTTTAAATATTTTATAAAGTTGTTAAATGTCATCAATCTCCATGGAAGAGCTCACATAATTATAACATATATTATCTAAATAGTTTTCTTCAAAACATTATACATGTAGTAAATATATCATTTTTTTCCTTGGTGATTTAAAAGTGAATTTCATATACATGTGTACTAGGATTTAAAAAAATATATATTCAGTTTAACCATATAGTTTACTGCTTTTATTCAGATTTACGATGCACACGTCAATTTTTTTATTTTTTATTATTTTTATTGTTGTTGCCAGTATTATTTAATTGGGCAGCACAATTTGTGAAGTTAGTTGTGATTATTTTTAGTTGTAAATTATGTGGTACTAATCATATATTACTGATTTATGCTCTAGAATATAACATATGTTTTTAACTTCTGCATAATGTGTTGTAATACCTTATACAGCCTTTTCACACACAAGTAAAATTCTTTAAAGCTGATTAGTTTAAAGCACTTTAAACTAATCAGCTTTACATACGACATCATTCACACACAGTAAACTTGGTGCGATCGTTAATCGTTTCGTGATTAACTACTGCTCTTAAAATGCGCAGTGGTGCCATTGCGCTTTGAAGGTCAGGTCATATCAAACAGAGCGCTCGCTCCATCCAGTTTAAACATGTATGACCGTTCACACACAAAATGTCAAGCTCTCTAGATATGAACTTCGTATCTGCAGCCTGCTTTGAGGGGCGTATGAATCGCGACTTCGTATCTATCCGAACATCGTATAAACGATGTTCACACATGGAAACATTTCTTTAAAGCTGTTTAAAACTGTTGAGTTAAACAGCTTTACACTAATCAGCTCTAGATACGATGAATTTTAGCTGTGTGTGAAAAGGCAGATAGTCGGCCAGGTTTCTAACAGTACATGTACACTTTTGATAGCTGTCGAACAATTTTCTAAATGTATTTGTGTATGTTCAATTTGTTTATGTTTTTAATATAAGATTTATATACGTGTATGAAGTAATTGTTGATTATCTTTGGTTAATTTTTGTAAATAGAATATGAAATAAATATTTACATGTAAAAAAGACCTGGTCAAGGTACTGATGTCGTTTCCTTCTTTATATGGCATACATATTGCTCCGGTTGTCTCATTTTCGCTCGCCGGACGTACATGTATATAGCAGACGACAATCGGCGGATTAAACGACACTTGGTAGTGAATTTGTATGTGAGATGGCTTTGCTAAATATAAAATACAAGAACATTTTCCATATCTTTAAACTATCATTGATATCTGATGATTAAACAGTTATTAAAATAAACCTACCAAACTACATAATACAATGAAATACACCACGTTTGATGTGGTGCACAATTGGGGGGGGGGGGGGAATGAAATTTGATCAGGGAAAGTTGGAGGGAAAGGCATAATGTACAACAAAGAAATAACTTTGGAATGCTGTGATAGATCAATTGGAAATCATCAAGTTGATATTTTGTGTCTAATCAATCACATATTTAAAAATCCTTTATCAGAATTTCCTCTTACTTTCACAGAGCAGTTTCTATAAATGTCTCGTTTAGACTTCCCCTAAAGAGTGCTCTTAGAGGGCAATCCAACCTATGGAAAAAGACCATTTTTATGTAAAAGTAGAAAAATAAGATGAACAATACTGAAAGATTAAAATAAATCACAAAATTATGAAAGTTTGGAACCTAATCATCAGGTTCATCCTCCTCCTCATCCTCATCATATTCATCATTATCCTCCTCATCCTCATTCTCATCCTCCTCCTCATCCTCATCACCATCCTAATCATCAGGTTCATCCTCCTCATCATCCTCATCATATTCATCATTATCCTCCTCATCCTCATTCTCATCATCCTCCTCATCCTCATTATCACCATCCTAATCATCAGGTTCATCCTCCTCTTCATCCTCATCATATTCATCATTATCCTCCTCATCCTCATTATATTCATCATTATCCTCCTCATCCTCATTCTCATCATCCTCCTCATCCTCATTATCACCATCCTAATCATCAGGTTCATCCTCCTCCTCATCCTCATCATATTCATCATGATCCTCCTCATCCTCATTATATTCATCATTATCCTCCTCATCCTCATTCTCATCATCCTCCTCATCCTCATTATCACCATCCTAATCATCAGGTTCATCCTCCTCCTCATCCTCATCATATTCATCATTATCCTCCTCATCCTCATTCTCATCATCCTCCTCATCCTCATTATCACCATCCTAATCATCAGGTTCATCCTCCTCTTCATCCTCATCATATTCATCATTATCCTCCTCATCCTCATTATATTCATCATTATCCTCCTCATCCTCATTCTCATCATCCTCCTCATCCTCATTATCACCATCCTAATCATCAGGTTCATCCTCCTCCTCATCCTCATCATATTCATCATTATCCTCCTCATCCTCATTCTCATCATCCTCCTCATCCTCATTATCACCATCCTAATCATCAGGTTCATCCTCCTCCTCATCCTCATCATATTCATCATTATCCTCCTCATCCTCATTCTCATCATCCTCCTCATCCTCATTATCACCATCCTAATCATCAGGTTCATCCTCCTCCTCATCCTCATCATATTCATCATTATCCTCCTCATCCTCATTCTCATCATCCTCCTCATCCTCATTATCACCATCCTAATCATCAGGTTCATCCTCCTCCTCATCCTCATCATATTCATCATTATCCTCCTCATCCTCATTCTCATCATCCTCCTCATCCTCATTATCACCATCCTAATCATCAGGTTCATCCTCCTCTTCATCCTCATCATATTCATCATTATCCTCCTCATCCTCATTCTCATCATCCTCCTCATCCTCATTATCACCATCCTAATCATCAGGTTCATCCTCCTCTTCATCCTCATCATATTCATCATTATCCTCCTCATCCTCATCATATTCATCATTATCCTCCTCATCCTCATTATATTCATCATTATCCTCCTCATCCTCATCATATTCATCATTATCCTCCTCATCCTCATCATATTCATCATTATCCTCCTCATCCTCATTCTCATCATCCTCCTCATCCTCATTATCACCATCCTAATCATCAGGTTCATCCTCCTCTTCATCCTCATCATATTCATCATTATCCTCCTCATCCTCATTATATTCATCATTATCCTCCTCATCCTCATTCTCATCATCCTCCTC